CAACCTGTACCTCAGGTAGTCTACCTGTGTGTCATTCTAATACAGATGTTTACACACCAGTGGGTACATCAGCTACTCTAGGTACACATACCTGTACCTCAGGTAGTCTACTTGTGTGTCATTCTAATACAGATGTTTACACATGTACACCAGTGGGTACATCAGCTACTCTAGGTACACATACCTGTACCTCAGGTTGTCTACCTGTGTGTCATTCTAATGCAGATGTTTACACACCAGTTGGTACATCAGGCCAGTGTCCAGGTGATTTTAATGACAAGTGTTTACAAACAAGTAGTTCCAGCAGCGAAATCTGACGTCTGGCACACCAGATCAACTGTGTGTCAGTCTCTAATGAAGATTACACACCTGAGAGTCATCTACCTGTATGACATCAGTTCCTTTATCTATGACCTACTACCTGACATGTCCAGTATTCATCAAACCTCACCTATTTATGAATTGTTTAGTTACAGTTGTTAATAGTTTACATATATGTACCGTGGGTGTTGCATCTGGACAACATAGGGCTACAGTCACCTGTAATAGATTTAACCTGTCATAATAGTTGTATTAACACATTGTTAATGCTCATTGATGCACAGACCTACTGATGTAAGTGGAATGTACTCATTTGTATGAGGATAATAGCTGAGATAAAGAGATTCTCCGATGAAGCTGTAATGATTTGTGTTTGGTCTTTTCAAAGACATGCCAAATAATACCTGTAGCTGTTTACTGATCCTTTGGTTAAATGTAAGTATGTGTAACTTAGACTATTGAATAAAAAAATAATGTTTAATTGGAACAAGCTTACAAACATATGTCAAACTTGAAGTATATGTAGTAATGTTTAATTGAAACAAGCTTACAAACATATGTCAAACTTGGAGTATATGTAGTAATGTTTAATTGAAACAAGCTTACAAACATATGTCAAACTTGAAGTATGTGTGGTAATGTTTAATTGGAACAAGCTTACAAACATATGTCAAACTTGAAGTATGTGTAGGAATGTTTAATTGAAACAAGCTTACAAACATATGTCAAACTTGGAGTATATGTAGTAATGTTTAATTGAAACAAGCTTACAAACATATGTCAAACTTGAAGTATGTGTAGGAATGTTTAATTGAAACAAGCTTACAAACATATGTAAAACTTGAAGTATATGTAGTAATGTTTAATTGAAACAAGCTTACAAACATATGTCAAACTTGGAGTATATGTAGTAATGTTTAATTGAAACAAGCTTACAAACATATGTCAAACTTGGAGTATATGTAGTAATGTTTAATTGAAACAAGCTAACAAACATATGTCAAACTTGAAGTATATGTAGTAATGTTTCATTGAAACAAGCTTACACACATATGTCAAACTTGAAGTATATGTAGTAATGTTGAAGCTGGTTTATGTTTTTCTTTGGACATTTTAAGATTTGTTGGCAAACTTGATCAAATACTCTCTCCTTTAGACTTCACATTTGTCTTCCTCTAACTCTTATCGTCCCAATTAACCTTTTCTTCCTTATCTTCCTGTTTCCTCTTTCTAGAAGAGCATTGCAGTTGATTTCAATTGAAAAATGACACAAATTTTAAAATGCTTTTATAAAAGGTAATAATAGTTTGATTTTCTGCAATTCATAAAAGGAATTTTAATATGGTAAAGTGTTTGCACCGCTAGTTTACACTACAAAACATATTTTATATAAAAGAATCACCTTCAGTTATTTAATCACAAATTTAAAAACTCCTAGGTTTAGTAATCCATAGTAAAGTACATGTACAAATATGTGAGTAGGTAGCTATAGATTGTGTCACCTAAGTCAAATATAGGACATTTTTTGATACTTTATATAAACACACAGGTATTCCTTACTGTCTACTCAGCATCCTATTTGTGATCAAGAGTAATCTGACATTTATTGTAAGAGACAGTGGGAGAGATGGTGTATGATATTTGTTCACCTGTAAAAACTATTACAACCTGTGTTATATAATGAACCCTGACAGTTTAAATGCCATGTTCTACAGACTGTGACTGCAGACACATGACGTATGGTATGGGGGTATACCACACATGATTATCATCATGTGACGTTCTTTCCTAAGCCACATTTTGTAGTATGTATATAGAGCATATGGATTGTTAGTATATATATAGTACTGGAGGTGGTAAGTACTGTACAGGTAAGCTTGTTATTTATACCTGTTGGGGGTTTGTCATGTACAGTATTACTTAAAACTGCATTATATCTGTTCAAAAGCTCTATTCATCACGGTTGTGACAAACTACAGTACTCTATTGTTGTAAGTGCTGCTAAAGTGGTTAAAGTAATCAGATGTCACCGTTCTCATTAGAAAATGCTGATAAGATAACACCATTAATATTGTCAGGGGTTTGTCATGTATCAGTAAATTGCATAAAACTGCATTATTCTGGTTCAATAAGTAACAGAGTAATGCAATGATCATTATCCCACAGACTTACATCTATAATTATGTAACTGCGCGCCCATGTTTTAAGTACTGATATAGCAGTTTAAAATAAACAGATTTTCACTGTTCTCACTAGAATATGTTGATAAGATAAAGGATTTATAATCTCATTCTGAAGCATATACCAGCAGTGTTATATCTACTTTAATTGGGGAATGTATAGTACATGTAATATTTTCATTGAAATTGGGAAGATATTACATTTTTTTCTTCATTTTGGGAAATTCAGCCTGTGTTGGTATGAGAAGCAGCCTGTTTTCAGCTGTAAAGCAAGGCAAAAAATCACTGAATAGAAGTTGCATGAACAATTTAATAAGACAACGAATATGTTGTGGGTAAAACATAAATAGAAGTGTGGTGGGGAAATATAGGACAATTAATGGTTTTGTGTTGTTGTGACAACCTGGAAGATGATTTATTGTTATTAATGTTCTACTTTACTTATATATTTAGTTAAGTTCACACATCACAAGCATATTTATTACCACTGTGTTACTGTATGGACTAGCTTTGGGTTCTGTCCCCTGGCCGAGACATACCAAAGTCTTAAAAAATGGTAGTTTATACTCCTGCTTAACGCTCAGCAAATTAGGAGTAGGACGACTGGTTCGCCCGTTGTCAATATAATGTGACCGGGTGGGGAGTCCTGCTCGGTGTCTTCGGCAGTATGTTTCAGTGAGGTAGCACTACAAAGTCGGCATCAGTTCCGCGCTATCACAAGGAGACAAACACGAACATATCGGAGCCTCCCAAAATACACACACACACTACACGCATGCATCTTGCACACATGGGAGGTCGTCCATAAATTACCTTAGCTGTTAATAGGACGTTTAACAAAATCAAACGAACAAACAAAACTCTTATTCAAATAAACATACATATAGACTATTTTCTCTTAATTATACTTTACGCTAGAATTCAAAGGCATACTTGTATACTTTTCAAATTTTTCATCAGGGAAAAATCTGAAAATGTCTAAACATAATGAAGAAATTCTTACAGTGAACCTCCCCCCTCCTCTCCCCCTTATTTTACAAAGTATTACTTACCGTAATAATGCAGTGTAAATTACGTTTCAGCTATTCTATCCAGTGAATCAATTTATTTTGATAAATAAAGATATAGGGAATATTTATGATTTCATATTCACATTTAATTATTACACCGACTAATTATCGCTGAACAATCCCTTACAATGTCATAGCAAAGAGTGACAGTGCAAAATTTGTTTTATTTGTGATATGATAGGGACAATAAATAATGTTTGTTTCTCTGACTCAGTATACAAAATAGAAATTGTTTCTGTAGAGTGTGGCAGTGTCTTGGGTCACTCCTCGGAATGTCTTTTTCCTCAACTTCCCTTCACGATCAGGTGACAGGGATATAATTGGGGTGACACTACATAGGCACTTATAACCCACTAATGAGTAGTCAATGTTTTAGTTATTTTTAATGCTGATATCTTTGTGGTTAGAAAATTGCGGAAGTGTCTGCTCTAAACTTTGAAGAGTAAAATGCGATAATAATTTTTTTCAATGTAACCTGGTAAGGGTTGAAATGTAAAATTGCTTTTGAGACAAATATACTTTTAAAATAAGTCATTCATATTTATATATTTGTCCAATTAGGCGTGGAGTGCATGCTTATGTTGGTGAGGCAAAGTTTGATTGATGAATCTCAAAGTAGGATGGACCATTAAATAATGGCATCAATAATATTATCCTCATGGCACACTTTGTGATACTATCCTTTGTCTTCCTCTAATATTATGTTTGGTTAAAACTGTCTAATCTGACATCCTGTGGAACATGACATTGATCAGATAAGACAGTTTTGATAAATAGATCTTATTTGGTAGTTGGATTATCTGTTTATTGCATTTAGACAGGATAATGGAAAACTCATTGGTCATATAAGCCAGTATGTCAGAATACTCAGGGGGTTTGATTATGAAGGTTTAACTGTCTGTTTATGAAGTGAAAATTGGCACAGGAAGACTAAACAATAGATTTTGTTGACAGTTTTCACGTTTTTTGGAAAATTATATAAATAGAACAAAAAATAGAATATCTAGAGGACAGTTCATCAACTGGAAGGAAAATGAAAAAAATGTCAGATTTGAGTCACCTATCAATATGATCAGTATGAAATGAATGGATATGATATACAAGGAAATATCAATCACATTTGTACAAGGATGTGATTAATTGCTGTGACTTTTCCAGTGTTTCATATTTCCTTTTTTGGCCTGGCTTTTGACATTTCAGTTTTTGTTATTGTTAGTTGAGTTGATGGGCTGTGTTTTTACTGCTGTAAGTAGTGCTCGCTGTTCCTGTTAAAGATAAAAACACAACATTTCACTGATGTGTAATTTATCTCTTTTGGCAATTCAAACTTGGATATTTAGACGGCAGTATAAAGACTTGTAAAGCACACAAAGTCATAGATAATGACATAGACCATTAACATATTATATAACTGTTGCGTTGTTTACAGTGAAATGAGGAGTGTAGTGAACACGCTTTGTCAGGAGTTCATGAATGACATCATCCAGGTGACCAATGGTGAGGAGGACGATGATGATCCTTCTGCCCTACAGAACTACCTGGAGAGAGGCAGAGGCTGGCTACTCCTCCTGCTCATCAGTAAACATGGGGTAGCAGGTATGTATATATCAACCTCCCTACAGACCTACCTGGAGAAAGGCAGAGGCTGGCTACTCCTCCTTCTCATCAGTAAACATGGAGTACGGGTATGTATAGATCAACCTCCCTACAGAACTCCCTGGAGGTAGGCAGAGGCTGGCTACTCCTCCTGCTCATTAGTAAACATGGCTGGCTACTCCTCCTGCTCATTAGTAAACATGGCTGGCTACTCCTCCTGCTCATTAGTAAACATGGCTGGCTACTCCTCCTGCTCATTAGTAAACATGGCTGGCTACTCCTCCTGCTCATTAGTAAACATGGCTGGCTACTCCTCCTGCTCATTAGTAAACATGGCTGGCTACTCCTCCTGCTCATTAGTAAACATGGCTGGCTACTCCTCCTGCTCATTAGTAAACATGGAGTAGCAGGTATGTATATATCACCTACCTACAGAACTACCTGGAAAGAAGCAGAGGAAGGCTACTCCTCCTGCTCATCAGTAAACATGGAGTACAGGGATGTATAGATCAACCTCCCTACAGAACTAACTGGAGGGCGGCAGAGGCTGGCTACTTCTCCTGCTCATCAGTAAACATGGAGCACAGGTATGTATAGATCAACCTCCCTACAGAACTAACTGGAGGGAGGCAGAGGCTGGCTACTTCTCCTGCTTATCAGTAAACATGGAGTACAGGTATGTATATATCCACTCCCTACAGAACTACCTGGAGAGAGGCAGAGGCTGGCTACCCCTCCTGCTCATCAGTAAACATGGAGTACAGGGATGTATAGATCAACCTCCCTACAGAACTAACTGGAGGGAGGCAGAGGCTGGCTACTTCTCCTGCTTATCAGTAAACATGGAGTACAGGTATGTATATATCCCCTCCCTACAGAACTACCTGGAAAGAAGCAGAGGATGGCTACTCCTCCTGCTCATCAGCAAACATGGAGTAGCAGGTATGTATATATCACCCTCTCTACAGAACTACCTGGAGAAAGGCAGAGGCAGGCTACTCCTCCTGCTCATCAGTAAACATGGAGCACAGGTATGTATAGATCAACCTCCCTACAGACCTACCTGGAGGTAGGCAGAGGCTGGCTACTTCTCCTTCTCATCAGTAAACATGGAGTACAGGTATGTATAGATCAACCGCCCTACAGAACTACCTGGAGGTAGGCAGAGGCTGGCTACTTCTCCTTCTCATCAGTAAACATGGAGTACAGGTATGTATAGATCAACCGCCCTACAGAACTACCTGGAGGTAGGCAGAGTCTGGCTACTCCTCCTGCTCATCAGTAAACATGGAGTACAGGGATGTATAGATCAACCTCCCTACAGAACTAACTGGAGGGAGGCAGAGGCTGGCTACTTCTCCTGCTTATCAGTAAACATGGAGTACAGGTATGTATATATCCCCTCCCTACAGAACTACCTGGAAAGAAGCAGAGGATGGCTACTCCTCCTGCTCATCAGTAAACATGGAGCACAGGTATGTATAGATCACCCTCCCTACAGAACTACCTGGAGAAAGGCAGAGGCTGGCTACTCCTCCTGCTCATTAGTAAACATGGCTGGCTACTCCTCCTGCTCATTAGTAAACATGGCTGGCTACTCCTCCTGCTCATTAGTAAACATGGAGTAGCAGGTATGTATATATCACCTCCCTACAGAACTACCTGGAAAGAAGCAGAGGATGGCTACTCCTCCTGCTCATCAGTAAACATGGAGTAGCAGGTATGTATATATCACCCTCCCTACAGAACTACCTGGAGAGAGGCAGAGGTTGGCTACTTCACCTGCTCATCAGTAAACATGGAGTAGCAGGTATGGATATATCACCTCCCTACAGAACTACCTGGAAAGAAGCAGAGGATGGCTACTCCTCCTGCTCATCAGTAAACATGTAGTACAGGTATGAATATATCACCCTCCCTACAGAACTAACTGGAGAGAGGCAGAGGCTGGCTACTCCTCCTGCTCAGTAGTAAACATGGAGTACAGGTATGTATATATCACCCTTCCTACAGACCTACCTGGAGAAAGGCAGAGGCTGGCTACTCCTTCTGCTCATCAGTAAACATGTAGTACAGGTATGTATATATCACCCTCCCTACAGAACTACCTGGAGAGAGGCAGAGGTTGGCTACTTCTCCTGCTCATCAGTAAACATGGAGTACAGATATGTATATATCCCCTCCCTACAGAACTACCTTGAGAGATGCAGAGGCTGGCTACTTCTCCTGCTCATCAATAAACATGTACAGGTACATGTATGTATATATCCCCTTCCTACAGAACTACCTGGAGAGAGGCAGAGGCTGGCTACTTCTCCTGCTCATCAATAAACATGGAGTACAGGTATGTATATATCCCTTCCCTACAGAACTACCTGAAGAGAGGCAGGTGCAGGCTACTTCTCCTGCTCATCAGTAAACATGTACAGGTACATGTAAGTATGTATCCCCTCCCTACAGAACTACCTGGATAGATGCAGAGGCAGGCTACTTCTCCTACTCATCAGTAAACATGGAGTACAGGGCTGTATATATTTCCTCCCTACAGAACTTTCTAGAGAGAGGCAGATGCTGGCTACTTCTCCTGCTCAAAAGTAAACATAGAGTACAGGTATGTATATATCCCCTCCCTACAGAACTACCTGGAGAGATGCAGAGGCAGGCTACTTCTCCTACTCATCAGTAAACATGGAGTACAAGTATGTATATATCCCCTCCCTACAGAACTTTCTAGAGAGAGGCAGAGGCTGGCTTCTTCTCCTGCTCATCAGTAAACATGGAGTACAGGTATGTATATATCCCCTCCCTACAGAACTACCTGGAGAGGCTGGCTACTCCTCTTCCAGTAACCTTGTCATGTCTTCTGAAAAAGAGCTGTAAAGTTTAGGTAAACTTTCATGTGAAGCTGTATTGTAATTACTTGAATGTACACATTCTTAAGGTATTTTGTTGAATTGGATATGGGCACTGCATTTTCATTTGAAATCAAAACACTTCTCTAACACTCAGGGGCTGTCAGTAGGCCGAGACCTGAGTAACCTGCTGGTCACCCTCCTCCCCTTCTGTCTTCGCTTCAGAGATGACACTCTCCCTGGAGAAACCAAGGCTGGTAAGTCACCCTAGTGGTATATTCTAATATCACTGTACACAGTACCGACTAGTTACAAATATCACTTAAATATGTGTTCCCACTATATGTACATGTCATATGACTCAGGTAAATTTTGTGACACCTGTTTTGAAGATAGACGTGTCCTTTTATAAAAAATAATAGTGTGGTGTTGCCATCCTACAGCTTATTGTTTTTCTCAGTAATATTTTAAAGATATTTTAAAGAATGAGATTGTCTCATATATATTTAACTTCTCATAGGTTATTTGACTTTTTTTTTAACAACAGGAAAAGCATTCTTAAAAGTACCAAAAATAAAAAAGAATCCGCTTAACATTTTGTGACATACATATTTTTGCATTAATGGCTGTTTATCGTTATAAGTTTTCAACATTTGACCAAGACATTATTGTTCATTTCGTGAAAACAATTCAATTTGCAAAAGTACAAGTGAGGACATTTATATTTTCAAATTTCCAGTGATTTCTAGTATTCACCACCCACCCAGTTAAAAGTTAGCTTTTATGATCCTATTATTATGTGGGTATCTACATGACAAAGCTTTTATGATCTTAGTATTATGTGGGTATCTACATGACAAAGCTTTTATGATCCTATTATTATGTGGGTATTCACATGACAAAGCTGTAATTATCCTATTATTATGTGGGTATTCACATAACAAAGCTGTAATGATCCTATTATTATGTGGGTATTCACATAACAAAGCTGTAATGATCCTATTATTATGTGGGTATTCACATAACAAAGCTGTAATGATCCTATTATTATGTGGGTATTCACATAACAAAGCTGTAATGATCCTATTATTATGTGGGTATTCACATAACAAAGCTGTAATGATCCTATTATTATGTGGGTATTCACATAACAAAGCTGTAATGATCCTATTATTATGTGGGTATTCACATAACAAAGCTGTAATGATCCTATTATTATGTGGGTATTCACATAACAAAGCTGTAATGATCCTATTATTATGTGGGTATTCACATAACAAAGCTGTAATGATCCTATTATTATGTGGGTATTCACATAACAAAGCTGTAATGATCCTATTATTATGTGGGTATTCACATAACAAAGCTGTAATGATCCTATTATTATGTGGGTATTCACATGACAAAGCTGTAATGATCCTATTATTATGTGGGTATCCACATGACAAAGCTGTAATGATCCTATTATTATGTGGGTATCCATATGACAAAGCTGTTATGATCCTATTATTATTTTGGTATTTACATGACAAAGCTGTTATGATTTTATTATTATGTGGGTATCCACATGACAAAGCTGTTATGATCCTATTATTATGTGGGTATCTACATGACAAAGCTGTTATGATCTTATTATTATGTGGGTATCCACATGACAAAGCTGTAATGATCCAATTATTATGTGGGTGTCTACATGACAAAGCTGTTATGGTCCTATTATTATGTGGGTATCCACATGACAAAAGTTTTATGATCCTATTATTATGTGGGTATCCACATGACAAAGCTGTAATGATCCTATTATTATGTGGGTGTCTACATGACAAAGCTTTTATGATCCTATTATTATGTGGGTATCCACACGACAAAAGTTTTATGATCCTATTATTATGTGGGTATCTACATGACAAAGCTGTAACCTATTTATTCTGTAATGATTAGCCATATCATTCTAAAGATTTACTGACAGACGTGTTATATAATGTAATTTTATACCAAACAATTCATACATAATAATTGGATGATTGGTTTGCTGATTTTCAGATATGTTGGCATCCAAGTCATCAGCTAACTGTCTGCCACCCATAGGGAATGTGTTCTTCCAACTTGAGATGTCATATAAATGGCAGAAATCGTCCCAGGCCAGGGACAAGGCTATCCCCAAACACCAGCAGGTCAGGCATCGTCATAGCAACAAGCCCAACAGAAAATTCAGGAAGCAGGCTAATAAAAACCAAGGAGTTGAAACCTCTGACCAAGACGAAGGTAGTAACCATTCAAATGAAGACCAGGCCCCTAAGATTAGACGGAACAAGAGGCTGATAAGGAGATGTTTAATGTTGGGGTCACGACTCCAGGAGAACTGCTCCAGACAGGATTCTATGATTGAAGAAAATGAACAAGAAATCTATGCCATGCTGACAGAAGTCAAGAAAGACCCAAAGCACTGTTGTAGTGAAGACCTGTGTAGTCTGATACTAAACCTGATTCAATCCTTGTGTCTACTGGACTTGGATCAGGTGTCCGTGATCAAGGTCATTTCACCCTCCATCTTGCCACACTTGTTGCATCTGCTGACAGGCATGTATCCCTCAGCAACCAGTGAAATGGATGATTTACTAGCCTCTTCCTGGAAAAAAGATGACAATGTTTTCTTCCAGCGACAGTTGTTACGGGTTGTTTTATCACTATGTGGGGTCATATCTACACAACAAAATGGCGTCGGGGTGATCCTAGGTCATAAGGTCACGTCAGTCCTGTTGGATGTGGCTCAGCAGGTCCACCACTTCCAAGAAATTAAAGTCCAGCTATCCAAGACAAACCAGCCAAGAAAACATGAGTCTAGGGATACTGTTGACCAGGAGTTCTGTTTGTTTTCAGAGATAAACATTGGTCTACTCATGTGTTTTGACATGATATTCCAGAATCTGCCCTTTAATCTTGTGTATATCAAAAATGCTGTTGAACTTGTAGAAGATTTTGACCAAGGCCAAGGATTTAGCTTCCTTGAATGTGTTATTAAAGAGTATGACAAACAGCAGTGCAGCAGGGCAGGTACTGATTCTTGTCTAGTGGACTGTATTGATGTAGAACCTGTAAAAGTCATCAGCTCTTTCCTCAACACCTTAAAGTCTGTCAAGGTTAATTACATTCACTCTGTGTCCTGTCTGAAAAGGAAACATCAGAAATGTTACTATGTTTCCTATTTTGACCATCACCATGACATTCTGGGGCAGCCAATCACACTGAGCTCCGAGACAGAGGTAGGCCACCCAGTGGATTCTGCTACATCCTCGTCTGATACCCCTAATTCCAGTGGAGTTTGTCTGGTAGCATCATGGTGCTCATTTCTACTGTCTGTTCTCCCCACAATCCAGTCCAAGGTTTCCCAGATAGAGCTTCTCAGTACACTCCACCTGTCTGCCATGTGTTGTTGTGTTCCCCTGGAGTCCATTGTGTCCTGTGTTACTGGCAGTGTGACTGCCTTTCCCTCAGCTGTACAGAGTTATGCTCTAGAGACACTCAATAAGATCATCCTTTATCCGTATCTTGGAGGGATAAACAGTATTAAAAGTACTGGTCGGTCAGGGCATTGTAGTTCACAATTCTGCCAGAAGTACTCAAATTATCAGTCAAATTCTAAAAAGGAAAGTGAAACTATCCAACCAAATATTGACAGTGGTTTTTCAAGTAGAGATGTATTAAGAAAACGTTTGACTCAAAATCCAGGACTATCCTCGCGATGGTCATCTGTGGAGCTCTTTAGAGCCCTGCTGTTTTCCTCTAATGCCCATCTCAGTGAACTAACAGCAAAACATATTCAAGTATTGGTAATTGGTGCCAAACCTGATCTGAAACAGGAACTCTTCTTCAGGGTGTATTTACATGCATTCAAGGCTTTCATTGGGACATGGGGAAAGCTGACCCAGAGCTCATCAGAGGAAGTAGAGGGAATCCAGTTCTCCCTAGCAACCAAGGTACACTGTCTGTCAGCCCTTCCCTACCTCCTAAAGGTGGACTCTGTACTGAAGGTGTTCCTTTCCAAGCGGGGACTAGGACAGATATGTGGGCTCCTGGAAGATGATGGTCTTCGGGAGCCAACCCTTAAAGTGTTTGAGGCATTAGTTCTGTTGGATGAGAATCGACTCGAGTGCAATGAAATTGAAACAGCAGACGGTGATGCTCTTATGGGTGGAATGGTGATAAAAGCATTTATTGATGGCCTCGCTTTAAAAACCAAGGGTGACATCAACGAGAAGTCAATGTGGCCAGGATGCTGCCCCAGCAAGGATAGGTTGTCGGGGGAAACGTGTGATGCAGAGGGTTCAGGGGTGTGCATCAGGAACCTGGCTCTGATGGTGGACATGTGGGAAACATGCAGCAAGCTGTGCATCAACAGTGATAAGTTTGTGTCACATTTCAAGGATTCGGACTCCCTGAAAATAGCCGAGGACACTTTAATGGTGATACTGAAGCAGATGTATTCACCAAACTGTGCGTTGCCTTCGGATACATCAGAAGATTCAGGTCAAGAGTCCATTGGGGTAGGGAGCCTTATGCCTCCTGTGGGATGCTTCATGTGGTTATCCCTACTCAAGGCTCTACTCACTGTTTGCAGTGCCTGCTACAAGTACATCGGACATCAGGTAAGAATTTTGCACTCTAAAGTTAGACATGTTAGAACATCAGGTATCAGGTGAATTTTTTGCAAACTGTAGAAGGACATGGTCCAATCGAAAATTAGATAGCAACCTGAACTGCTTCATTATATATAGGCCTACAGGAAACTAGGAAATTTTTGTCAAAAGAAAACACATGTTTCAAACCATTTGTAAGTAGGGTTAATGTTTTACACAAGTGTGTTACATAAGTACTCCCTATATATACTGTGGCCCCTTTTGACCTAACTGTTGACCTAACTGTATTGATTATAACACTTGGACAGATTACCTAGTTTATGATGAGTTGCTATGTTTTGCCGTTGATAAGCCAGTGATTCGTACTAAGCCAGCCCATCTCAATCTAGATTAAAAAACTGATTTGTATATTGGTGGTAAAGATTTGATAGATTACAAAACTGATTTGTATATAGCTGGTAAAGATTTGATGCATTGCATTAGTAGATCATCACAAAGATAATATTTTAAATAATCTGTTGTTTAATTTCTGCGGTAATATTAGAGAGTATAACAGTGGTGTGAATCCATTATGGCTAGTGATGTCATCAGCAATGAGGTGAGACTATCTAAAATTATCACAAAACCATACTTTTATGCATTCATTAGAAATTCAGAAGATGCATTGAGCTTGTTGATATAGTTATATTAGAGGGAGAATATGAGTGGGCTTTCTTTTGAACAAGATTGGAATCAGGGGTTTACATAAAGTATTTATAGCACACTCTTACATCACCAATTAGCACTTCCTGTTGTAACCAAAAGGGATCAGGTCTTGAATTTTGTAATATTTTACACTACAAGTCAACAACTCTTAATTGTTATCTAAAGATTTTGTGATGATCCTTAGAATTTGTATATAAATATAGCGTAGTCTAAGTTTAATCTCTTACCTATAATCTTACACTACAAATCAACAACTCTTAATTGTTATCTCAAGATTTTGTGATGATCCTTATAATTTGTATATAAACATAGCTTAGTCTAAGTTTAATCTCCTACATATTATCTTACACTACAAATCAACAACTCTTAATTGTTATCTCAAGATTTTGTGATGATCCTTAGAATTTGTATATAAACATAGCTAAGTCTAAGTTTAATCTCCTACATATTAAACAGAAGACATACGCTGGTAATCCTTTTTTTCACAATATGGATTAGAAACTAATTTCTGAGCTTAGATTATATCTTCTGTAGCTATTTGAAGTCATGATTTTATTTTCTGTAGACAAAAAGTGTTGCATGGCTATACATTCTTAGGCCATACCATTTGAACTGTTGGCACATTAAAAGATCGAAAAGCATTTTCACCTGGTCTGAAGGACCAGGGTTAGTTTATGCTGTACCATGCATGGCATCTGTTGTCATTCAGCCGTCTATCTCTCTGTCGTCTATTCTTCTGAACCATTGATTATATTTTAACAAAATTTGACTGGGAGCAGCCCTAGCTAGTTGGTGGGGATTCAAAATTGTACAAATTGTCGGAGAGGAGCAGCCCAAATGGTTTATTTGGTCATATTGGTTTAAGTGACTTCTTCTCTGGAACTCAGACAGGAATATCAACCATATTTGGTTTGAAGAGTTCTCAGGTGTTGGAAATTCAAAACTGTTCAAACGGAGAGGCTGACTTCCAGGAGGCTGAGGGTTGGGGCTAAAGGAATGATTTGGCCATATATAGGTTTAAGTGACTTCTTCTCTGGAACTGAGATGAGGATATCAATTATATTTGGTTGGAAGCATTATCATGTAGTAGGTTTTCAAAATTGTACAATTGAAAGAGACTGAAAGGGGTGGGGGGCAGGGCTAAATGAGTTTTGACACACATTCAGTGTTTTTGTAGTAAGACATCAAAGTTGTGGGGTAATAGTTGGAAACATCCACAGGTAATGAGGATTCATATTTGCACCAATACAAGGGCTGACCCCCAGGGTTGGGGTAAAAAAAAAGTTTATAACATGGATATATTAGATATACAATTGCTGGGATGAAGTGATGAACACAATAATGCTACCAGAATTGGCCTTTGGGTCTGTCTCCACCCAAGGAACTTAGTCCCTGGGTCATACCATAGGAACATTTGAGATCCTCACCCTATAACAATGCATTCAATAACTGATCATGATCATGAAGATTTGAATACACATATTTTTCTAGGATTGGCGAGGGGAAATGACCCCATATCCGAGGGATCCCATTGGTATTATTACTTTAAAGAGATTATTTTGCCATGATCGCTTAAATATCAAAGTAAGCAATATAGGTCATTTGAGCCTCTTGTTTATGTCACTAGAAAACAGGTTTTACAAAATGGTCATAGTAGGAACATCTCCAACCTGCATATAGGGTCTAATTTGATCCCCTGATTGTACATAAGGTAAATTTAGTTTGGAATCTCAATATAGATGAAAAATTGATATAAATGAAGCAATGTCTGTGCTTGAGTCAAGGTTGATACAGGTATCTATTTCTGGATATCTTGATAAACTATTTCATAAATAGAAAACCTTGATAAGTTGATACATATAGATTATAAGTACATTTATATCAGTTATCAGTGTCTTATTTAGTGGTCAAGTTCAGAGTTATTGGTCATTGTCAGAGATAATGGCCTGGTCAAGTAAAGAGTTACATGTAATCTTTGGGATGGTAGGGTGGTGCAGTGGATAGCGCACTTGCCTTTCACTAAGGCGGCCAGTGTTCGATTCCCCGATCGGACGTGAAAAAGTATGGGGTCACCTGCCCGACCACGTGGGTTTTCTCCTGGTACTCTGGTTCCCTCCCACACTAACTTGTTTCATAATTGTTGTAAAACAAATAAAGTTTATATTTTTAGAGTTACATGTAGTGGTCAGTGTCAGAGTTAGTGGTCAATGTTAAGAGTTGGATTCAGTATTGTTAATGTTGGTTAAGGATCCCCGTACCACTAACCATGCAATGGAAACTTATTTCTGGCATGGGTATAACTTTGATAATCATTTCTGATAAGAAAACTATACCTTCAGCTTGTAGAACTTTATAAAAAATAATTAAGATGAAATAAACAAATTATAATCACCAACAGTGTTCTGAGTGAGAAAAAAAATAGAGGGCTACACCCGAATTCGAACCCTAGACTTGTTATAATATCACTCTAACTGAGCTCCTGGTCAACGGAAGTACTCTTGTTCAACTTTGCTATTCCGTCTTTGTGTATTGCAGAGTTATCTTCTCTTGTGAGCAGGTATTGATTGTTACGTCATTGGTTTGTGTGAGAAAATTACTTCGTTTTCTCAAACGTTGATGCCGTTACTCTCACAAACAAATGACGTAACAATCAATGCCTGCTCACAAAAGCAGATAACTCTGCAATACGAAAAGACGGAATAGGATCACAAGTTATGTAACGAGGTAGCATTTGTTGTACATTTGTTGTGTGTTCATCACTTCCTGCTTTACAGAACTTCTCTATAATGTGACCATGCAGACTGTAATCAAACGTTGTTTCTTTCATTAACCTTATCAGTGATGAGGTAGCTAGGTTGTATAACTCTGTCAAACCCTGGACTAGTAGATGTTATGTCAGTCCCGGTGAAAAATTTCAATATCATGAATATCAAGATCAGCCTAGTAGATTTTTTTTCTAGATATGCCTGCAGCTAGTAATTTTCATACGAAATTATCCCCCCCTGAAATAGTTTTTGGGTGGGTTTAAAATCCAACATGGCTGCTGTTACAGACGGAGGATGATGATGACCAACCAACAAATCTGGAAGTCAGTGTGGAGGTGACTATGTACCAATAGTGTAGTGGTGATGGCACAAGAGGATTCTCCCTCTCTACTCTAATCTTCTCCTTTAAAGCTGCTAATGACAACTAAAAACCGCCTATAACTGTGATAATATAATAGTGGTGATGGCACAAGAGGATTCTCCCTCTCTACTCTAATCTTCTCGTTTAAATCTGCTAATGACAACTAAAAGCCACCTCTAACTGTGATAATAGAATAGCGGTGATGGCACAAGATAGTTCTTCTTCTTCATACCCTAATCTTCTCCTTTAAAGCTGCTATTGGCAACTAAAAACCACCTATAACTGGGATAATAGAATAGAGGTGATGGCACAAGATAATTCTTCTTCTTCATACCCTAATCTTCTCCTTTAAAGCTGCTAATGACAACTAAAAACCGCCTATAACTGTGATAATATAATAGTGGTGATGGCACAAGAGGATTCTCCCTCTCTACTCTAATCTTCTCCATGAAAGCTGCTAACGACAACTAAAAACCGCCTATAACTGTGATAATATAATAGTGGTGATGGCACAAGAGAATTTTGCTTCTTCATACCCTAACCTTCTCCTTTAAAGCTGCTATTGGCAACTAAAAACCACCTATAATTACTGTGACAGTAGATCTAGTAGTGGTGATGGAAATATCTGATTTTTACTTCTATAGACTTAACATTAAATCTGCCAATATAAGTTAAAAATCATCTATTAACAGAAAAGAATTGTTTATAGAGTTGCCTGATTCTTCTCTGGACTCTTACTCTGAAGCTACTAATGGAAGCTAAACACCATCTATGATTGCATTCTCGATACATGGTGGGTTACGCCCACTTACACTCGCTGCACCCCTGGAATATTTCATGGCAAAATTAAAGGCATGCTAGCTTTTTGATTGGTCTCAGGTAAAAAAAAAACCTGACCATTCGCTAGAATGATACCTAACCTTTGAAGACCACAGAGGAGCGACACCAGACGTCAAATTCACTGTTTTGCTGTCGTCGGATTTTTTAATGTAAATCAAAGTATCAAACTAGCCATGTATCATCCACAAGGTGGTGCAGACTGACCATCCAATTTTACGTGACATTTTCCAGGCATGCAGAGAGATAAGTGAGCATAACCCTTGGAGTGTCACGGATGTTTTAGCTGTATAGTGATGATGGAATTGACCAATTCTTCTTCTCTAGATTTCTGTATTTGTGCGGCTCTACTGAGGCTAACATTCATGTGTAACAGTGGAGTGAGGCAATGGAATAAAACGATTTGTTTCTAGATTATCTACATTTAAGCTGCTAACAGAAGCGAAAAACATTCTTTAAGAGAAGTGGTAATAGGGCTGACTGATTCTTTTTCTCTAGATCTTTTCATTAAAGTTGCCAATGGAAGTTAAAGAACCATCTACAACAGTAGAATAGTTGTGTTGGAATTGACCATTTTCTTCTCCAGATTTTCACATTGAAGCTGATAATGGAAACTAAATACCATCTTTGATAGTGGAATTGACAGAATGTTTTTACATATTGGGCCATCTGATGTGTAGCTACATCTAGTAGTGTCCCATTAACTACGTCTGGTTCCATATAGAGGCTCTCTGACACCATTTGACTATTTATTTTTATGATAACAAAATCTCCATGGTTGATTCCGTTGACATGGGACAATGTTATATCACTGTCAACATTTAGCTTCCAAAGGCACTTGAACAACAATACAAAATTTTGGCTGATAAAACAAAATTAAAAAGTCTGATTTCTATACATTACCCTAACACTCTCTGCTGTATGAGAGAAAACAATGTGATCATTGTTTCTTTGTAGAAATAATTGTCGCTGGTGAAATGTTAAACATGTAGTAAAAATGGTAAGCAGATATTTTGTTAATTTGGCGTTACAAGTGTAATGTTTGTTTGGTAATGTTTCAGAGCGGTATTGAGGAGAGGGTGTGGCAGAAGATTAACTCTGCATTCCTCGGCTGTGCTGGACTCCCTGTCTGTAAACTTAAAATGCTGTTTGACATCATCCTGTCCTCTGCCATGCCCAAAAAAAGTAGCGTCCTCGACATGTCACAGTCTATGAACTTATCTCACCTGGTAAGTGATCACGACAGTCTAGCTCATAGACCTAAATTTCTCACCTGATAAATTAGGATGAAATTCAGTCCTATAGCCATCAGGTGGTAGGTTCTACATCTGGGTTTTTTGACATTTTTTCATCTTGACACAATGCTATATTAAAAATAATAATACAGTCTGTTGTATTTGTTGTGTATTGGAATGTTAAAGAGTTATGTTTCCTGTTTTCTACCTAATACAATGTCTGGTCTGTTTTGAATTGATATATGTACAAATTATTTCCCTGTCCCTTTATTTTATACTTAATCTGTTTTATTTTTGTGCCAGTATGTTAAGGAAGACCACATAGAAGACGATGATATCAGACAGATGTTACAAACTCACAGCGATGACGACATTGAGCACCATGGGTCGACAGAGAAAGGCTATGACGCTGACACTGAGGTGATGTCGGAGGGCGATCTGCGGAGGTTTGGTGTAGTGGACCAACATGTGCAACGCGAGTACTACCCATCCATCTTTCGCCTTGTAGTCAACCTATTGGTGGCCTCACAGCAACAGGGAGATGGACGGAAGATTCTGCCTGATGTCCTCATTAAACTTTTACAGACCCTGGGTGCCAACCACGTGGCAGTGCTTGCTGTCTGTGAAGAGGTGACTATAGCCAATGGTGGCAATGCAATTACTTCATTCTTGTTATTTTACAAAGTTTCTTTTGCATTAAACTTATTTATAGTTGATTTATCAATATTAGCCATCCTAGATACCTTAAGCATGTTAATATCAAAAGTAGTAACTTTTTGGTTTTTGTTTAAGTATTCATGTTTTAGTGCTGTTGTGAATACTTAGAAAATATTGACTGTAACAGTCTACTTATAAAGGGTAAAATGTCCAGAGTAATGCCTGGCAGACCTATAAATGCTAATGTAGGCCTTAATTCGTCAGTGAGATGAAACCCATAAGGGCGGATTCATGTAGGCGCGAAACCCGTCATCCACCCATCCATCCATTAATTGGTAAAGGTTAGCCAGTAACATCAGGTCATTAGGTTTTATCTCATTTCATAAAATAGCAACTTGAGCCCAAATGATGAAACTTTAAGGAATGTGTGAAAAGAAAGTGGTCAAGCTGGTATGTGTAGCATGTATTTAACCAAAAATATTTCACCTGCTTTACAGGATCTGCTACATGTTATTCTGGAGGGATTCTGGGATGAATTGGTTTCCAAGACAACTGCAGAATCAGGTATGATTAGACTGATAATTACCTTGGTAATGTAATCTCTGAGTCAAATATATGAGGACTGTGATTCAGTGGTCTGGCTTACTGTATTTCACTTGATATATTAGGAGTGTTTCTGGGAATAACTTTTGTATAAAAGGTACGTTGTACGTAGGTGAAAGTTCTAAAAACTGATAGATTGTTGGCTACTTTCCTTGTCAATGTATTGTTGTACCGGTAATGCAGGAGTACTATGTTGTTCGTGATACTTTATTGTTATACTTTTCTAGAACTGTGTTGTAAGTTGTAATGTATATGTATGTGTATATAATGTAAGTTATAGTTTAACAACTATAACTTACATTATATACATATACATATACATTACAACTTACAACACAGTTCTAGAACATGTATTATAATTCTTTACATGTATTATAATTCTTTATTGTTGTATTATTGAATTGTATGGTTGTAGTAGTTCTCTTGTATGGTTTAGACACTGTATTCCTGTATTATTGTATTGTATGGTTGTAGTAGTTCTCTTGTATGGTTTAGACACTATATTCCTGTATTATTGTATTGTATGGTTAAGACACTATATTCCTGTATTATTGTATTGTATGGTTAAGACACTATATTCCTGTATTATTGTAGTACAAAAAGCCCTGATGTCCTTGATACAGCTACTTGCCCAGCACCGACTGACAGCCCAGGAACTCCAGAAGATCATCTGTCTACTCCAGCACCAGGGGATACCACAGGTCTGTAAAACACTGTAGAACAGAATATCATTAAGTATTAACCTGTATGTTTGTTGACAAACCTATTTATAAACCTCATCAGAAAATAAATAAACGCATCATCTCTTTATCGACAGGACCTGGTGGTGTCTACCTTGCTGTCTATTGTGGAGAATTCGCGGACCATGCCTCACCATTCTGTGACCTTTCCCTGCAGGAGAAAGAAGGTGAGGGACGGTAAGAAGAGGAGGTTTCCCACTCAACAGAGGAAACACTTCGTATCTGAAGGATCAGCTGAACTTGATAATAGAACAGATTCTAAACTAAGTAGGAGTGTGTCTGCTAAGCCTGTGTCTGCATTTTCCTCCTCCTTTGAGCTCGAGGATATCACCCTTGACTTTGATAATCCTGAGGGTAGAGCAAGACAAGAGCCATGGCAGCTAGCGGCCATCACCCAGGAGGTACACAGAGGCCTGGCCTGGCCACCAGGGATAGAGGGTTTCAGTATGGCAATGTGGCTACAGATATCTGACAATGCCATCCAGACCCAGGGCCATACCTGGCCCACCAAGAGTCAAGATTACACCAGCTCAATGGAAGGTAAGGTTATTAAAGAAAAGTGAAAACTTCTGTAAATTATATATCCAACTGCTGTGTATTATGTTTTACTTAAAACATTAACTGAAACAAAAAGCAAGAGATCATGTCACTAAGTTTTCCTAAACATAATCTGTATCTATACAGTTATTTACATCAAACCTGTAATTACCAGCACACAGAGATTCAAAATACTTTTAAATGCTGTCGACCTTCAGGTTGATTGAAGGTCATTTCAAACTAAAGTGAGTTTGTAGGATATTAAGTTATAAATAGATAAATAATTTGTGATCATTTGTCATTGTAGGTGGACAATTGTCCGACACCATTGGGCATAGAAAACAGTCTGAACTCCTGGCCTCTCAGAACCTTTTCCATGTTGTATCCATTGGCAATGAGGACAAACTGTTAGAGATCTGGGTGAACACATCCAATAGGAGTCTCTTGTTCAGGTATACATTATAGGAATCAAAGTTACAAAATATGGAATTCAGGTTGTACCATTCCGTAATATTTTGTAAAAAGTTGCACGCAGCAAGCTTATATGTTATTTGACAAGTCATTGATTTTATTCATTTTTAGCTCACCTGGCACGAAGTACCAAGTGAGCTTATGCTGTGGCGCTCCGTCCGTCCGTCCATCATCCAGCTGGCCGGCGGCCGGCGTCAATATTTTACTTTAAACAACTTCTTCTTAATAACCAAAAGGCCTAGGGTGTCGATATTAAGCCAGAAGCAAACTGGAATGAAGTGCTACAAAGTTTGTTAAGATTATTGACCTTCACCCATTTTCAAGGTCACAGGGGTCAAATATGTTAAAAACTTTAAACATCTTCTTCTCAATAACTAAACTTCCCAGGGAGATGATATTTGGCCTGTAGCATGCTTGGGTGAAGGGCTACCAACTTTGTTCCAATTAACGACCTTCAATTATATTCAAGGTCACAGGGGTCATTTGTCTTAAAAAAACCTTTGAACAACTTCTTCTGAATAACCGAAATGCCAAGGGTGATGATATTTGGCCAGTAGCATGCTGAGATGAAGGGCTACAAAGTTTGTTCAAATGAAAGACCTTCACCCAAATTCAAGGTCACAGGGGTCAAATATGTTAAAACCTTTGAACAACTTCTTCTTAATAACCAAAATGCCCAGGGTGATAATATTTGGCCAGTAGCATGCTGGGGTAAAGGGCTATCTAATGTGTTCAAATAAATGACCTTCACTTATATTCAAGGTCACAGGGGTCAAATATGTTAAAAACATTAAACAACTTCTTCTGAATAACCAAATTGCACAGGGAGATGCTATTTGGCCAGTAGCATGCTGGGGCAAAGGGTTATCAAGTTTGTTCAAATGAATGACCTTCACTTATATTCAATGTCACAGGGGTTAAATATGTTAAAAACATTAAACAACTTCTTCTGAATAACCAAAATGCAAAGGGTGATGATATTTGGCCAGTAGCATGCTGGGGTAAAGGGCTATCTAATGTGTTCAAATAAATGACCTTCACTTATATTCAAGGTCACAGGGGTCAAATATGTTAAAAACTTTAAACAACTCCTTCTGAATAACCAAAAGGCTCAGGATGTTGATATTTAGTCAGTAGCATGCTGGGAGCAAGGACTACTATGTTTGTTAAAGTGAATGATTGTGACTTATATTCAAGGCCACAGGGGTCAAATTTGTTTAAAATCTTTAAACGACCTCTTCTGAATAACCATGGGTCCCAGGATGTTGATACTTTGCAAGTTGCATCCTGAGATGAAAGGCTATAAAATTTGTTCAACATATTGACTTTGTTCAACTTTTAAAGTAACATGGGCGAAATGTTTTAAAATCTTTTAACAGGTTCTTTTGAATGACTTTAATTATAAATACTGATATTTTGCCTGTAGCTTTATTTTAGATCACTTTTAAGGTTGCAAGTGTGAGATTTATACCAGGTGAGCAATGCAGGCCCATTGTGCCTCTTGTTTTAAATAAAATGTCTTGACATCTACTAGATATAGAGGTTCCCCAACGAGTGATGGTTAGTTATCATGTTTATATAACTCTCGTTATTTAATTTTCAAATTTTATAAAGACACTTGGTACGTTTCCCTTGAAAATACACTATGTCCGCTTCTGATGGGGGAAAACGATTGCTGTGAATCATGATGTCACAATTGAAGATGACGTCATAAAGCATTATTACGTGATGTCATAAGTAAAAAATTGACCAATGAAATCACGTCCAGGGTGTTACCCATTAGTGGGTAACCAAAAATGTTTACCAGCTCCTAGCAGGTTTATCCAATGAATCAGGAGTGAGGAAACCTATAGTGGTTTGGGAGAAAACTAGACTACTGCAAGGTGTTGATTTAGAAATCATTTTTAATGTTTTCGATAACGATGGCTACCACAATGGGTAAATATTTGTAATTACCAGCCATGAAAATAAGCTCTTGATTGTTTAACAGAGTTACGTCAGAAACAATCCAGATTACTGGACCGATGCAGAAGGAGGCTGTGTGTAAGGATTGTCTCCACTTGGAACAGTGGCACCACCTAGTGGTCAGTTACAGTGAAGAGCATGACAAGGAGCTGAGCGGTGATGACACAATTCCAAAGCTTCAACTGCTGAAGGGCAAGGTAGGACTAGCCAAGGAAAAGGCCACCATCTGATGATACACAACTTGTAAATAAAGAATGTTGGTGACTTGAGGCTTTGTGAGATATTGCCTGCTTTGAAATTTACTGCTCTAACTAGTTAAACGGAAGGTTGTTATGGTAAAAATATCTTTTTAATTCTGTTACACTTTTCCTGGAAACAAAAAAAAGGCTATCTTTTAGATTCCACAGAATCAGCACCATTTAATATAATTTATTGATGCTGGTACGGCCACAATCACTACAACAACACAGTAATAAATTGACACATTTAACAACAGGACTACTTACACGATTGATAACATAACTGAATGTTTTACACTAACTGAGGAGTTGTACACATCTTGAAGTATCTCAAATAATTGACATTTTGCACTCTGACCTTTATGATGATGTGTACCAGGTGACCCTGACCTTGGATGGCTGTAGAACTCACACACTGTGGCTTGAGCACCAGATGGCACCATCACCTAAGAAGCATGCCCACAGTCTGTCTGTTTGTCTTGGGCACGTGTTAGAGGAGCTATCAGACAGAGGGCCTCTAGCATCTTGGTCCCTCGCATCCTTCATGCTCTTCCAAGGTAACAGTTGATCATAAACTGGAGAATATTTATTCTGATTATATATTATTATACAACGGTGGCCAAGTAGCGATATTAAGGTGTCTGACATTTGGCTACCATTAGCCCTCCACCACTTGGTCCCGGGTTCAAGATCTACGTGGGGCAGTCGCCAGGTACTGGCCTTAGGTCTTTTTTTTATTGAGGAACTCCGGCTTTCCTCCAACACGGAAACCTGGCACGTCCTTAACTGGCAATAGCTGTTAATAAGAGATAATCACAAACAAACCAAATCATACAACACATTATTGATTCATTCTGTATTGATCTTGACACAGGTTGTTGTATTTAATCAACAGATTGATGCTGATGTAACATTGACCTCAAACATTTCTGTGATAATTCCATGAACAATGAGTGATTTTACTGCTCCCAGGTTGTTCTGTTGGAGAGGAAGAGTGCCTACACCTGTACACACTGGGGCCGAGCTGTCACACCCTGAGTAAGTGTGATAGTACTGGCATTGGGCGCTCCTATCCTCCACGTCTGTCCAAGGTTACCGTGGCCAGTAAAGGGGTATCCATGGATACCCTAGTGGGCCTCAAAGATGATGACCTTGACAGTCTCAGAGTAAGTCCTTTTGCATTTATGTTTTTACTTGATTATTTGGATTACACTAATCTTGAAATTAATAAAAATGAGGGAGGACAAATGTATGAAGTAATTGTGAAAAGATACAGTAGTTACAGGATATATTCACAATGGAGAGTCAGCTTAACAGGTGAATGGAATAATTTTTAAGTTGATTAATGCCCAGATTTGTAGGAAATGTCATATTTTTGAACATTAAATACTATCATTCTTCTTGTAGTCAAGCTTGGTGCTTTCATACAATGCATGGAACTCTGACAATGTGAGTTACTACTCAACATTTGGTCCCACAAATGAAGATTCTGCAGCCATTATAACCAATCTGGGACTGACCGGTGTCCCCTCAAGCCTGTTGTCACAGCAACCAATCAACATTCCAACTGACTTCCAAGGAGAGATAACTCCCCAGACACATTATATCCTGGAGAAGGCACTTGAGGAGGTGGGGGGAGCATCTGCCATCTTGTTTCTGGTTGCCAAGGTATATGAGGATAAAGATCAGAAGTTCAATGACAGGGAGGTACGCCAGTCGAAGGCTCTACAGCTACTGTTTGCCTTTGTCAACCATTCATCATACGTAGGGCGGGACTACATGGCCTCATCGGGTCATCAGCTCCTCACCAAAGTCCTGACCAGCTCTCACAGCTGTGTGGGCTACTACACCCTCAAGGTAACTACAAACCAGCACTACTCCTCATTTTCTGATGGTAGTCTGTTGTCACGTAACCAGATGTTTGATAATACAAATGTATTCGAAATATTTCAGAGATTAGGAGTGGGTTAGAATTACATGTATAGTTATATTAGAAAAGTCTTGCCTCAAAGAATGATCTCTTTGTGGAAAATCATACCCGAGTCAAGGGTCCATATTCATGAAACTGTTCTCATGCTCAAACTCAGATTCTGTACTCAAGCCCAAGTATTTGTTCCAGTGATAAATAAATGAAAAAAATACATTTTGTTCATGATCTGGATGAATTGTTGAGAGATTTCAAGCTAAATTTTGTTTCAGATATTAACACTTTACTTTGTTAACTTTAATTATCACATGATTTAAGCAAGTTTTATCAGAAAATCCATGCTTGAGCATGAAAACAGTTCATGAATAGAGGCCCAGGAGTCTGATGGGTCAACATTAATGACACAGCAAAATTTCTGCTTTATAATCTTAGTAAAATGAATTTAAATTATGTATGATAATAATTTTGCTGAAAGTATTTATCAATTTCATGTGTTACAAAGTAACTTTTTAAAACAGGTGTTGATGGATGCCAGTGTCAGTGAGTCACTGTTCCGTTCAGACATGGGCGATGTCCTCATGGTATTGCGCCGTAAATCTGAGGCAGTAGTGACCAACATATCTGTGATTGAGGAGCTGCTACTAAACTGGCGGATCTGGGAAGGGTCTGAAGCTGATGTCTTTCTCCTCATGTTCCGTGCTCTTGCCTCGCTGATCAGGGAAGATCATCCTCTACAGGCTTTCAACATCAAACAGTTCCAGTCCATCAACATTCTCAACAAGGTGTTCCTCATGTACAGGGTAGGTGTTTTAACTCTGTACAGTTATAGAATAGACTGTTAACTGGAATAGTAAGATTTGTCACTGATTATTACAAGGAGGCAGTTTTTGATGTTACTTTCATTTTCAATTTTACTGAAGGACCAAGCAGGCAATGTGATTACAAGACCATTAATAGAACAGTGTACATTCTCTGTTAACTTTGTCACTACCCTTGAACTATAGTGTTTATGGAAATATTTAAAATACATTTAAAGGGTAATGTTTAGGCAGAGTCATATATAGGATAATTGTATTACACCCCATTTCTTTCACCTTTATGTAATTCAGTACATGTTTGTTCTACAAAACATGCCATCTCTCTGCTTCAGTAGATTTCACCTCAAACCTCAAACTTTACACCCCCAATAATGTTAAATCTGGATCTGTTCCTACACTTTTTTGGTTATGTAAATGTTGTTTGGAAGGAAACACCACAGTGAAAAAGATCCAGGGGTAAGATGGATTTGTTCCTGAGTGCGGGCTATTGTTGTTAAAATATGGTACATATTATTGACTTGCAGGAGAGGATCCAGGATGCACGTCCGTCTTTCTCCACGGACATTGGTCAGTCTGTAGTCAGTATCTGCCAGAGCATGATGGGATCACCTCCTGATGTCCATCTGATCGTGTCCATGTGCGATTTCTTGTTGAATGTCCACCCAGCTGCCAGCACATACATCAGCCATGCTAGAGTGGACTTCTACTTCAGCCTGTGGTGGGGTAGGTCAAGGTGTCAACAGTGGGGATATAAAACTAATAGAGTTGTCATAATATTTTCTTTCTAGCTCAAGGTTTATTTATGAATTTTGATTTTATGACCTAGTACAGCTGTAGGTAATTTAATTTGGAAGAACATTTTATATGTAATTAAGAGCAATACATTTGAATTATGTTTCCTTCTATTAAAATCATAATTAATTGACAAAGTTTTGATATTTTATACTAAGCAGACTAGTGGCATATATGTGTTCTTCATTCAAATTAAGGCAAAGGGTAGAAACCTTCAGGGAATTATACGAATTACATTGTCAACCACAGCATAGTTGATAGAGCTTTAATATTCCTGTTCAGTATAATCCTTCATGCGTTAAGAATTACTTCCATTATGTTTGAGTAGGGGGTCATAGGACCATGAGAGAGGTCAAAGTTCAGTATTCGATGTACTCTATTTGAAAATGGTTGACAGTCAGAAATTTGTGTCTGATCTTTAACTGTCGAAGCTATGGTATTGTGAAAACAAAATACATCAATGTTACAGCGTAATATTTTGATGATAAAATATTTCTTTACAAAGTTTTTAATCAAAAGAAAGTTTCATTTGTCAGTCAAATCTATATTTATAAAAACCATCTATGATTATACCCACACTATTATTTTAGATTTACCTGAGACCAGAGCAACAAAAAAGAAAGAATATTTGTATAAGATCAGACGCCCAAGTACTGCAGAATCTAAGTCCAGCTCTGTCACAGGTTTGTCACAAGAATCTCACGCTACTGAAACTTCTGGTGCTATCATATACAGTATCAATTCAAATTATCAGTTTTAAAAAAGATGTAACATTCATGATAATTAACCCCCTAAGATTAAAGTAGAAAAGGAAACAGTGAAAAGTATACTTACAGTATAATCCAAATTATTTTCATTACAAACACATGTTGTAATAGAGGTTTGGTAATGTAGTGCCAAATTTTACCATCTCATCCTTTTATGAATGACTGATAGTTTACAGACGTTGTTGTATATTGCAGACCCTGACTTGTCAGATGAGACCAGTAATGTTGCGACCAGCCCAGAGGACGACCAGATATGTGAGGACAAGTACCCGTCTGTCCTGAAGGCAAGTCCAGAGTCACAAGAGGAAGACATTAGGACAGAAGGTATGATAGCCCTGTACGACTGGAGACAAGATGTCATTCATAAGCTGGTATCAGCTAAGGGACCATGTCACACTAGTAATAAATACTCACTTATATCATGCCCTATAATTTGCAAAATTACTCTAAGGCACTTACAGTGTGCAGTATTTGATAATTGCTATAGAATTACTAAATAATATATGGATCTATAAGTCATATACATCTACACTGTACAATCAATTATAAGTAATGCTAATACCATCTAACAACCAGATCACACCACTCATGTCACTTACAGATTTTAACGCACTGTTCATGTCACCTAGCAATTGCTACCAGTCAAAGTGAAAAACACAGTATGAACATGTTTATCGCAAGTTCTTGCTCAAAACAAAGTCCTATCACTATTCCCTGGTGAGGAATATGCTCATAAACATTGTGTGTTGCAGCCTGGACATGGCCAGTTGTACAGGGGCTGAGTGACCGCAGCAGTGCCCAAGTGGACACTTCTGAGACTGTATCAGATCTGGAGAACTGTGAGATCATCAGCCCTGGTGTCAATATTAACACAGCAGACAGCAGTTCATTCAGCTCCTCACCCACAGAGGCTGACGTTGTGTTAGAAAAAGTCACAAATAACTTCCCCGACATCTTCCAGGAAAATCCATTACGCATTTCCACATTCCCACGTAAATCTGAGAATGAGGAGGAAGGATTGTATGCACCAAAGTCTGATGTACAATTTGATGTCCCAGAGACTGACAGTGAGGAGTCTGAGAGGGAAAGGGGACTGACAGCCCTGTGTGTAGGTAAGTAGTGAGTGGGAGGGCTTATTTCTCTGTGTATAGGTAGTGAGTGGAAGAGCTTATTTCTCTGTGTATAGGTAGTGAGTGGGAGGGCTTATTTCTCTGTGTCTAGGTAGGGAGTGGGAGGGCTTATTTCTCTGTGTATAGGTAGGGAGTGGGAGGGCTTGTTTTTCTGTGTATAGGTAGTGAGTGGGAGGGCTTATTTCTCTGTGTCTAGGTAGTGAGTGGGAGGGCTTATTTCTCTGTGTATAGGTAGTGAGTGGGAGGGCTTGTTTCTCTGTGTATAGGTAGTGAGTGGGAGGGCTTGTTTCTGCAGGTTGCTCAGGAAAGGCGGATGGATTAATGATGTAAGGAATGTGGTGATAGAGGGCGCATAATTCTTTCTTAAAATTTCCTGTGTGAAGGGAAGGAGTGAAGGAGTGGGGAGTGATTTCCAATGTGTAGGTAGAGTTGAAGAGAAGGAAAGGACTTATTTTCCATGTGTAGGAGGGAGGGGGAGAGGATTATTTCCTGTGTTGGAAAGGTATGTTACGATCTTTGATAGCTCAGTTTGTTGATTTAATGGTTTGTAATGAAATAAAAACAATTTAAATTTGAATGTGATTTTGAAATGAATTAATATTTCTGCATATTACGGCTACATTACTTGTACTTAATCTATTTGTGTAGAGATACTTTTTTACTTTTAGTCACATATCCTGTTTTGTGTTTGTACAGGGCTACTCCAGACCCTGTCTAGTGTCCTGGTTACCATGCCTGACAGTACCACACAGAAAGTTTTCAACAAAGTTCTCAAGCCTGACATCCTCATTGTCCTAGCCCACAACAGTTCTCCTCAAATCAGGACAGCTATACTCAAAGTAGGTGTCTCGGTTGTACTGCTGTATAGTCAAAGAAGGAAATAATTTAAATATTCAATCTAATATGACGAGAATTTCTTCACATATGAAATTTTTCAAATGGGAAAATCTGTGTTGCATTACATGTCATAATCATAAGTCCTTACTTTTGCGGTTTTATATCACAGTTACTGATGGTTTACATGAAGCGAGCCACACAGACCAATTCTGATCTGGTCGACAGTTTTCTCCAGAAGATGGGGTTCCTACTGATCAGTGCTCAGCTCTACCAGTACCCTACCCATCAAGAACAGGTGGAGGAAGTCGTCTCACTCATCATAGGCCGACCCTTCACCTTCAACAGCAGGTAAGGTCATCAGAGGTCAACAAAAGGTGTAGAATGATTGAAAATTATGTCAAATTTTAAAACAGTCATGTGTAGTAAATAAATGCTCTGTAGGTGTTTGATATCTGTTACCATTGGTTTTACAGGTTGGATCTGGAGGATTGTCTGGAGGACCTGTCACCATTACAGCAAGCAGCCATCGGTCTTTTTATATCTCTACTCGACATGACCGTGTATGACTCAGAGCTTTGTAGCAGCAGTCTTCTTCTCACCCTACAGGTGAGTCTCTGTTTACATTACACATCAACTTACACAGGTGAGTCTCTGGTCATATAACACAGGTAAGTCACATGTCACCTTACACAGGTGAGTCACTGGTCATATAACACAGGTAAGTCACATGCCACTTTACACAGGTGAGTCTCTGGTCATATAACACAGGTAAGTCACATGTCACCTTACACAGGTGAGTCAATGGTCATATTACACAGATGAGTCACATGTCACCTTACACAGGTGAGTCTCTGGTCATATTACAGAGGTAAGTCACATGTCACCTTACACAGGTGAGTCTCACGTCATATTACACAGCCATTGGTCATCTTATACAGATGATTCACAGACATCATACACAAGTGAGACATGGGTTCTGTAACTTACATGTGTATATATGGTGCATGTTGTGCAGCTGAGCCATTGATCACCTTATAGATCATCTCACACAGGTAAGTCCATGGCCACCTCACACAAGCAAGTAGCTTGATTTTACACAAGTGAGTCACTTACCACCTTATACGTGTGAGTCCATGGCTACCTTACACAGATGAATCACTAGCCTCATTACACAGGTGAATCACTTGCCAATTGAGGTTTTCTTTAAGATAGAAAAGATGACAACTTGGTTATGAATGACTTTAAATTGTTGTCTAATTGAGGTAATTGCCGAACTGCATAAATTAGTTGGTTAATCATCATAAGTTTGAAGGTAGATTTATATCTAGGTTGGGAGAAAATTGATTTAAGATTTTGACCTTTGCAGCTGTTTACCAAAGACTCCATATTTGGATCCATGATGTTGGAGGTTGGTCTAGTGGAAACCCTTACCAACATGCTTGCTCGAATAAACAGATCTTACAGGTACACTTGTCTGTCAAAAATGGCCGTTTTTTTTAAAGATTAACTATTTCATCTGCAGCATGTGTGTACTAGATTTTAAGACTTATGTTAACAGGTTATTTTGTCTTCATTGTACATTTTTATTGATGATACACTGTATGTTTTTAGATCGATCTAGATAACTGAGATGAATGTTACTTCTTTTATGAATACCATGAAATATTTAGCTTGACTGCATTTTAGCACTATAAAAATTTGTATTTTCCTGTAAAATTGCAGAGGACATTTTGTGTGAATTAAAAACAGAATTTTCAAATATCATCAATGCGTCAATTAGTTACAATTTTGACCTACTGTGTATAATTTCTACCTGTAGGGATAGTGACCAGGAGGGACTTGGAGAGCACCAGACGTGTGTGGACACCATACAGCTCCTACTGTCCTCTATAGTGGTCCGAGAGTTCAGGTTAGTACTGTATGACCTACCATAGCAGTATATACATTATTCCAGGTATACCGACCAATGACCATACAGCTCCTACTGTCCTTTAAAGCCATTGGTCATAATTTATGTCACTACTGCTAAGAGTGAAAGCACATGATTTTGAGACTGTTCTTTGGGTTTTAGTTAGTATTTGTAAATGTTATATAGGTGAACTTTAAACTTTGACTTTTGACCCTTGACCCTTTACCAGTGCTAGTGGATCATTACACCTGCAGAGAGTTGAGGAGGTCATGGAGCTGCTGAGATACCTGGAGGATAGAGATATACAGAGGACAGGTAAATGGCTTTGCTGATAATTCTTGTACCTCAAAATGATTCAGTTTTGTCTCTGAAAAACCCTTTTTTCAGCTTACTGAATATTTAGCTGATGATACATTTTGCACTATATTTGCAACCTGGAAAATATAATGTAAAATTGAAACCCACAAATTTGTTTGTTAATAAAGTATAGAACCATCTTTATTCCATAGATAACGGTTTTACAATAAATGCTAAGATTATTATCTAAAGGGTCAAACAATATTTTTATATGAGGTTAAGTGTGTGAAACAAGCTTATAACTAATTGCTTTAAATTCTTTGCGAATGTTTGTTGTTTTACAGGAAATAAGTCTTGTAAGCAGGCCCAGAGTGTGCGAGCCATCCAGCTACATATTATGTCCAGTATCTTACACTATATAGAGTGTGCAAGTCAGGAAAACAAACCTCTATGGTTGTCACGACAAACCTCCTCACAGGTTGGCTTCAACACCAGTCTTTATGGTAAGTTAGATCAATCATGCAGGTCGGCTTCAACACCAGTCTTTATGGTAAGTTAGATCAACTTCCATTGGGATACACTGTATACCGGGACATTTTGGCTGCAGTTGAATGTTTGCCTTTTCGCCCTCCATAATGTAGCGAATTTATCATCACCGTGAGCAACATAATGTATGTAGAAATCAAATTAGAATGGCGAATTTTTTACACTAAAAATATTGGTGTTGATTTTATTTTGTTCTTTTCATCTTTATTTTCTCTCATAAAAATCCTGAAAGGTATGGTTTTCTTTTCAGAAACGGTTTATAAAAAGTATAATCATCGCAGAAAAACAGTTTTCAATACTAAGAAACATTTTTGGTAGTGGTACGTAGATCCTTAAATGGAACTAGAAAATCTTCAGTATACATTTAAAACCTATTTATACATCTTTGAGTACAGTACAAAATTATAGGCCTCTTGTAGGATCCCATAATATTGTAACTCACTGGTATTTTGAAAGATAAACATATTTACTGGCATGGTACATGTAGTTTTACTTAACTTTGTGAGGAGATTCTAATACATGTACCTGATACTAGTGTTTCACAAAACGAGTTCAAATATTTGAACAGGACATATGTTGGCTTATAATTCTCACCTTCACAAGAAAATTGTTTTAAGAACAATCAACAATTTATTGTACTTATGAAAATTAATTGGTTTACAGTAGAACATTGTCTGCTGTAGTGGTTTACAGTAGAACATTGCCTGCTGCAGTGGTTTACAGTAGAACATTTCCTGCTGCAGTAGTTTACAGTAGAACATTGTCTGCTGTAGTGGTTTACGGTAGAACATTGACTGCTGCTGTGGTTTACAGTAGAACATTGCCTGCTGTAGTGGTTTACAGTAGAACTTTGTCTGCTGTAGGTTTACAGTAGAACATTTCCTGCTGTAGTGGTTTACAGTAGAACATTGCCTGCTGTAGTGGTTTACAGTAGAACATTGCCTGCTGCAGTGGTTTACAGTAGAACATTGCTGGCTGCAGTGGTTTACAGTAGAACATTGCCTGCTGCAGTGGTTTACAGTAGAACATTGCCTGCTGTAGTGGTTCACAGTAGAACATTGCCTGCTGTAGTGGTTCACAGTAGAACATTGCCTGCTGTAGTGGTTCACAGTAGAACATTGCCTGCTGTAGTGGTTCACAGTAGAACATTGCCTGCTGCAGTGGTGTACAGTAGAACATTGCCTGCTGCAGTAGTTTACAGTAGAACATTGTCTGCTGGAGTGGTTTATAGTAGAACATTGCCTGCTGCAGTGGTTTACAGTAGAACATTGCCTGCTTCACTAGTCTGTACAATATGTCTTAGTTTATAATAGTCCTGCACCACAGTTTCCTCTTACAAGGAAATTGGTAGACTTTATTAAGCTAAAAGATACATTGTACTGTTCTTTTACCTATCGACTAGGTTTTGATCACTCTTTGTTCTTATACCAGATTTTAAAGCGTATATTGAAAAAGAATTGATGCTTTTAGACAGCTATATGAAAACCGTTTTTACTGTTATATTGACACTGACCTGTTTGATTTTAGGAGGTAGTCGATCCCGGCACTCATTCTCCACACCACAGTTTCCTTCCCATGGACACGCCCTTCTTGGGTACCCCTCCCAGCCTTACCTCCCAACATATGGCACACATCAAGTTTCCAAAAAGGCCAGCTCAAACTTCCATTTATCGTTAGATCTTCCATATGATGATGCCCAATCCAGCGACACCGAAAGTCACATGTCATACGGGAGTATGAAGGTATTACCAGGATTCGGTAGAACTGTCTCAGTGGACCAAAACCAGTCAAAACAGGGCAAGCCTGGTCTCATCACTTCAGTGCTGGAGACATTTGGACGTAAAAAACGACTTAGTGTTATCCCAATTTCACACTCAGACCTCATAGACAGGTTCAAACGCTTCATGGTGATGGCTGTGGATCTGTTTGTATTCGCTGGTAAGTATACCCAAATATACCCGGCTAACAGAATACAGTCAACATTTTACTTTGTGTCCGTGAATTTGGAAGAAAAAAAACACAGTTAGCAAAGTGTACCACTAGCAAACTTAAATCTGTAAGAAATTATATAAAATAGAATATTTAGTAGAAATATCTCAGAATCTAACCACTATATATTATATATCAATTTATATATATTGATGTTGAAGACCTAATTAAAATTGCTTTGTTTATACTCTGGCTTTTATTTATGTCCTAATTTTAACTGGTATAGTTGTGTATATACCCCGAGAATGCCTTACTTTGATGGATGTGTATGTATTTGTTCTCGGAATGGGCTATTTTTGACAAGTGTATGAAATGTTATACCAGACAAAGAGACGGTGAAGAGGGAAGGTTATACTCGTACCCTAAATCTACTGTTTGAGCGGTCAGAAGTGGACAGCTTAGAAACGTCACACATACGTAGGCTGTTCGACTTCCTGTACAAGGCATACGAAATGACACTTAGTCAAGTAAGATCTCTTCAAATACTTAATAAGCTCACATTACATTTGTTGTTATACATATTTGAAGTTTTAGCAGTGATTTTGTGTTTTTTTAATCAATGTTTTAAATAGTCATAAAAGGACAAAATCAATTCCTGTCATTTCTTTGACAAACACAAACAGGCACATTTTAACAAATGAGATACATGTAACAGGCTTTAAAAACTTTATTCAAACCTTTAAAAATTCTTGTGCATACTTGAAAAGTTTATATATAGAGATTTACTTACGGGAACTCAGTAGGGATATATCAGCAAGTGACTGATTACTTCACATTTGACTCTGTTACCATGGTTACAGGACAGAATGGTGCCTAGGAAGCCACGTAACAGTGTGATGTGGGCGGCCAGGGATGTGACGCGGGTACAGATTGGACGGCTCATGACCTTTCTTCTGTCCCCACGACAGGAAGTGGACAACAGGGCCTACATTCTGTCCTACCTCCGAGGGGAGATAAGGGGCTGCGAGATCCTTAAAGTCATACTCAACACTGCCAATGATCTGGTATGTCCCCTGGAAATGATGTTGTTATTAGAGTTTACCGGGTCCTTCAGAGAAAATATTCACAGAACAAGATATTATATTAATTGTAACTTGCTTTACTCAGAAATATTCAGTTACAAACAAATTTTCCAATTTCTGATTCATGAATTCGAAAATGTCTGGCAAAGGAAGCTCAGGAGATTTTCTTTTTTTTATTGAATTTGTTTTGTTGGAGGGGGGGGGGGGGTAAGATAATGGAACATGCAGTGATACCTGGTATTCAAAAGCAGGAAATCATAAAGAGAGCAAGACAACATTGTGATAATCGACTGATTTAATTTGCCCTAAACTAAGATAATTACATTTGCAGGGCTCTGAGATGGCCTACTACATGTTTGACTTACTGACCACCTGGGATGACTGTCTCAACACACAACAGAGGGAAGATGCTTTCAAGATTCTCAACATCATCAAAAATGTGGGTATAGCGATTGTATCCCCAATGCCAAGGAAACACAAGAACACAGAGGTGTACTTCAAAGAGGTAAGGGTTCTCTCTCTGTTACTGTCTTCTAGGCAGAGATTTAGTTTGTTTTGAGGGATATTTTTTTTCTTCTTTATCTTTCTTTCTTGCTGAACAAGCAATGTAAAATAATGTCCCAAGCTGAAAATGGTATATGCAGTGTGTGTGATGATTTATGTAGTGAGTATATAACCCTCTATTTGAAAGGACACCAGTCTTTCACAGTTTTATATATTGAACTACTCATTATACAGGTAACCCTTCATATACATTTAATTATCCTGTCATTTAGAAAATAAAAAAACAGAAATTGGTTTAAACCATCATCTACCAATTATATTTGAACAGGAGAAGAAGATGATTAGTATTAAATTTGAAAAGGGAAGAAAACAAATCACCAAGAGACATATTCAAACTATGGAAAGGTAGGTTGATAAGTCTGGGAACAGAAAATGATTATTAATTTTGAACTGTTTAATTATATATAAAATGTACTTTATAGCTATTTTCACTGCAGTTTAAATATTTCCTTGAAGTGTCATAAAATTGCCTCTTTCACTCAATCATATAATTTATTTAATTAATGTCACCTAAATAAGTATTTCTTGAAAAAGTGTAAAATCAACCTGTTGAACAGAAATGGTAACTGAACAGGGCTTTTATATATAATACAAATGATGATATATTTGTTGTGTTCAGTTAACTATGTACACAACAATTACAACATAGATAATTAGAAATATTAATTGATCATTAAAGTGATTCTGTTTAATTTTGATAGGGTGCTAAAACGGAATGACAAGCTCTACTCTCAGTTATCTACCCTTGCCATGGATATCACTCAAACAGTGACCCGACTACAGACCACAGAACGCAACAAGTTTGTGGAGCATATCAAGCGGAGTATGACGGAGCACATTCAGGTCAAAAAGTCCTGGCAGAATATTGTACAGAACCTCACACATGAGAGGTAGGGTTGGCAATTCAGGTCAAGCTATTCCTCAGGCTTACATTAACTTAATTTAATAAGGGTGAAATTTTGTTTTGTTAATGACTTTTGCATATAGGGAATGATATCTTCAGCACATAGACTGTAAATTATTCTCTAGAAGACAGTTACTTTATTAATCAATGGTGCTAACATTCCTTCGTAATTTTTTGTTCTCAAAAAGATAATGTTTCTACATGTCATCAAATCTAAAATTTTACAATGAAGCAGGCAGATTATTCACCTTCTGACTGTAAAACAGGTAGATTATTCACCTTCTCACTGTAAAACAGGTAGATTATTCACCTTTTGATTGTAAAACAGGTAGATTATTCACCTTCTGACTGTAAAACAGGTAGATTATTCACCTTCTGACTGTAAAACAAGTAGATTATTTACCTTCTGACTGTAAAACAGGTTCCAGATTACTGTATGTTTTGAAATTTTCGCCCAGTCCAACTTTCGCCCTTCACCAACGAAATCAGTTTTCGCCTAGTGTTAATTTCGCCCTTCATATTTAATGTCTGTTTATTATACTGTTTACTTATATTCACTGCAATGATAAATTCACCTTCATTACGGAGTGCGAAAAGGGCAACAATTTAAGTCCAGCTAAAATTCCCTGGTATACAGTATTCACTTTTTTAATGTGAAACAGGTAGATTATCTACTTCCTGACTGTAGGCTTACTATGTGTGTGTCCTGTGACTATAGAATGTCAACTTCTGTGTTGTCTACCCTGTGCCTGTCACTAAGGCCACCTATTGACTTTATTGTCCTCTCCACAGAGCTGTTTGGTATTGTGCCGACTCTTATCCACAATCATGGCAACTTGACCCCACAGAGGGACCGAGTCGTATCAGGAAAAGACTGAAACGCTGCCACCTTAATATTAAACCAAAGTTCCTCAGCAAAGAAGCAGCCTGGAAGCTAGGTATTTACATCATATATCATAGACGCTTTCCAATCTATTGTAGATAATTACATACACATGTATATATATATAATGTTAAGGCTCCAATAACAATATTTTATTCTGTGTGTAATCAACTTAATAGTTTCACCTTATCAATAACATATCTTAGTTTCTGATTAGATATTTAAAGATTGAAAAGGCTTGATTACTGTGGCTTAGCTATCATTCTGTAATCTTCTAATACTTAACAGAATCTGAATCTGTGGATCCACCCCTGATATATCTGTTTGAGGATGACCATCAGATATCTGACTCAGCTGCTCTCATCTACCAGCTCTACCGCAATGAGAAGATTCAGTAAGTATAGAGAGACAGCAAAAAGTGTACTACATACAGACCAGCAACTTAAAGCTCTTCTTAATACAGATATTCTGTCTTTTCGTATTGCAGAGTTATCTGCTCTTGTGAGCAGGTATTGATTGTTACGTCATTTGTTTGTGAGAGTAACGTCATCAATTGTTGAAAAAACGACGCAAGTTTTTCACACAAACCAGTGACGTAACAATCAATCCCTGCTCACAAGAGAAGATAACTCTGCAATACGCAAAGACAGAATACAGCAAAAAATATTCTTACTACAAAACAATGTAATAGGTAGGAAACCAATTGCTTTCTATTGGTTATTTGTTGTTGGTTAATTTAGTTTGATATTTACCATTTCAGTCATTATTTCTAAAATATTTAATCATCTGATCTTGACCTAACTCATTGTACCTTACAGACACACCTGTAAGTGTAAGGCCGTGTCCCCTAACAACGAGAGTAAGGGCGAGCTGTTGATTGGTAAGTCACCCATTCCCAGCTGGTATACACCAGAATAAAGTGTTACCTGCCAGGGCATACAACAATATTAAAATAGCACACTAAATACAATTTAGTCTTCAATCTCGTAATCATCCTTATTATAATTTACATAGTTACATATACATTGTAAATACTTTCCATTTGAGGAGCTGGTTCAATTTCCTCAGATTTTATTTGTGCATCCAATGTAAAGATATACCTAAAATCTTGAGAAAAAAATAAAAATTACAGGTAAAAAAACCTATGAATTTTGTCCTGTAATATTGCATAAGGGAATTAAATATAGTGTAAGCAACATGCCAGAATCAGTCTAATATGAAAAGCTACATTCTTATATAATTTAATCACACATTCACATTCCAGGAGAGAACAGCATCTTTTTTGTGTCGGACGAAGCCATCACTGATGTTAACTACACACAGGTACGATAGACATTTAGTACAAGATACAACATCTGAATGAGTCAGGAGGATTGGATACGATGTGAAGTAGAAGCTTTGTTAATGAACCAGAATCCATGTCTTTCATCTAAAATTTCCGCATTTATATTATGACGTACATGTAGTATTGACAGAGTCCAGTAGAATCCAACACCAACAAAATTGGATATTTTTAGGTTTGTAGATTATAGGAAATAAAGGGCTAGAAAACAAATGCTTGGACAAAGGAGTACTCAGCAATTATTTCTTATCAACTTTTTTGTAATGACCAGGTGTTGCTTGGCAACAAGGACCAGTTGTCAATGACTTGGCCCTACGAGGACGTCAAGGAGATACGTAGGTGTTGGTACCAACTCCGTGACATCGGTATAGAGATATTCCTGACAAGTGGCAAGACCTGTATCCTCGCCTGCTATAAGACAAAGGTGAGATTTCTTCATCATATTGGGACAGTGTTATAATTATGATCAGACTGTTGTATACATGCAGTGTATGTCTTAGATGGAAATTGAGTGATATTATCAGTATTCTAATGTAATGCTCTCATTGGTTACTATCAACAATCATTTTCATTTCATGTAGTTTGACCATCAGTGCCAATTTGTGGTCACAATTTTTCAAAGATATTTTGAAGAGAACAATGAAAAAACACTAAATGTAGATTTAGTAAACTTCAACCAGTAACCAGAATTGATAACAATCTAATTAAAATTATATTTTCAATCACTACCGTTCACTGATATGTCACGTTGAAGATCTAACAACATCCCGTAGAGGGTCATGTTCAGGCGACCTTTGCATTAACCAATCAGATGAGAGCTTACGGTTTTCTGTAAGTGATGATGTAATGATTTCGGAACACACTTGCTATACTAAAAGACCGAGAGGTGTCAAATGAGTATCGAAAATGGCGGCGCCCATGACACCACGCCGTGTCTATCTACAAGACAACGTTTGTACAATTTGTGGATTTTGCTTTGAAATAAGAGAGACTTCCTCTTCTGGTGATGTTGTCGTTAACAAGTTTAACAACCTGAAACTAAAATTAACCAATGACAGGCTTCGCAATATTCAAACTATCACTGGACAAGACAAAAAAGTGGATTTTGGGCTACGAGGTGTCTGCATTAAATGCTACGGGTCCTGCTTTCTGATTGGTTGAAAGAAAGAGTTGTGTCGTGTTTTGATTGGCTTGTTATAAATACGATAATGCATTCATGTTGACCTCTGACGTGACCCTCTATGGGATGTTGTTAGATCTTCAACGCGACATATCAGTAAACGGGAGCGATGTGAAGATATAATTTTAATTAGATTGAATTGATAAGTTGTTCATATCACAAAGCTGAACTCTCTCTGTTTCATGGTGTCCTGTGTTTGTGTGACCCAAGTGACATGACAGGTCCCCTGTCCTGTTTGACCCAGTGGCATGGCCTCAGTCATGTGTGAGTTCTTGACAGGTCCAGGCAACTTTGACCCTAAGTAACACAATTGTGACCCAGACCTAATTTGACTCGAAGTTACACGACTTGGTCCCAGTCCTGCTTGACCCTAGTTACACAACTCCCCCTCTGTTACAGGAGAGAGATGAGCTGCACAAGGTTCTGTCCAATCTCGAACTTCCCAACCTGATGGAGTCGGAGGACCTTAACCACATACAGCGCCTCTGGCTGTTAGGGGAGATAACCAACTTTGACTACCTCACCTACCTCAACAAGATCTCCGGGCGTTCCTTTAACGACCTCATGCAATACCCAGTGTTCCCCTTTATACTGAAGGACATGGTCAGCTCCACACTGAATCTCAGGGACAGCAATGTGTACAGGTAGTGTAAGGCAGTTGCAACACAGCTCCTGTATCTGGAACAGCTCTATAGTTTGCCCATTAGACATTGTATATATTAGAAGCTCATGATCTGAATGCAGCACTAGAACATGTTATGTATAGGCCAGCTAGGTGTAATGCTATAATGGAATCAGTTTGTCCATCCGTTCATCAGTTCTAATCATAGACACAAAATCTTTTCTGGACAACTTGTTGCTCATTTTCCATCCATTTTTCTGGTCAACTTGTAATACTAATACTTTTGATAGAAGTTATTAATTTATTTCTTTGAAATCTTAAATTTGTTTTTTTCCTTTATAAAAAATTGCATTTTTAAGTATTGTACATGAACAACTACATCAGTAATAAATACAGTCTAAATTCTGTTTTGTCACTCTAGTTTCTTATATTATAAAATGAAAATATTTTGTAAGAATGATCAGAATATAAGCGTGGCATATACATCCTAATGATGTTTTCATGTTTGTTTTTAGAAATCTGGAAAAACCCATCTCTGTGCAGGAGAAAAGTAGGGAGGAAATGTACAAGAATAAGTATGAGGTATATTGGTTTTATTATAGAAATAGAAACACATATTATATCTAAAAAATAACAACATGATAGTGATAGCAACACATCTTATATCTAGAATATTTCTGAAGCAATGCATGATTCCTGCTCATAATGAGTTTGAAGTGCTTAAAATGTGTTTTTTTAGAGAAATATAAGTACATTCTGTAATTAAATCACTGTAGGAATATGAAATTGATACATTTAATATAAGCTGGTGTTTCTATTATCAAACTTATATAACTAATCATATCTTTATTGATACTACCCAATTTTATTAATGATTTAGATCCTGGTGCAGGACTACATACATGAGGGCCATACCGACATCTCTGGTCTACAGATGGCACCATTCCATTATGGCAGTCATTATTCCAACAGTGGGACTGTGCTCCACTTCCTCATCCGTGTCCCTCCCTACACTAAAATGTTCCTCAGTTACCAAGGTAATCGCATTTAAAACTTATGTCATCAAATAAGGTATAGAATTTAAAACTTATGTCAGCAACTAAGGTATGAGACGTGAATTAGATCTGCCCTCCCCATTCTATAAGACATGCCTGAAATTATCAAATCCATTATCCAATTATTTAAAGAAAAGCCAGACTGTACTCAAGGACTTGTTATGCTTTCATCTCATGTAATGATTCTGAGATTTGAGGTCACTAGTTTCTTAATTTGTCATATATGAAATTGCAATTTTACAAAACCTCAATAAAGAACACTATATGAATATTTTTCACACCTATCTTTTTTTCTCTGAGCCTGATATACTGTTCTTAAATAAACCGCATCCTCAAACATTCATCTCAGACATGCTATGCATCTCTGTACTGTATTCCTCCTTCTGTATTTCTCCATACTCTGATTACCAGTTATATCCCTTACCGTACTTCTTCATACTGTCTTCATATTGTTCATCCCCAGATGACAACTTTGACCTGCCCGATCGCTCCTTCCACAGCCTTGAAACAACATGGAGACTTGCTAGTTTTGAATCAACAACTGATGTCAAGGAGCTCATCCCAGAATTCTTCTTCCTTCCTGAATTTCTAGTTAACTATGAGGGTAAGTGAATATCTGTGATGAAAGACAGATACAGAAATGATTTTTTGAATATTAAGTAATTCCTTTAAATTTTTGTTGTATTGTTGGAGTGTAATGTACAACAAACATATACATATATGTATGTAATTTACTGTTCGGGTGTAGGTTTTGAGTTTGGTAAGCGACAGAATGGCCAGAATGTGTCCGATGTAACTCTACCCCCCTGGTGTAATGGAGACCCCCGCCTGATGATCTTGGTCCATCGGCAGGCCCTCGAGTCTGACTACGTCAGACAGAACCTTCACCACTGGATAAATCTGGTGTTTGGCTACCAACAGACGGGACAGGCCGCAGTACAGGCTGTCAACGTGTTTCATCCCGCGGTATGTGTGACTCCAAAAAATCATATCAGTTTGACTTTAAACCCAGTGTGACCTCCCCACAAACTTGTCCTGACCTCAAACCCAGTATAACAGTACCATGTCCTCACTTAGACCTTAATTCCAATGTAACAGCACCGTGACGTCTACCACCCTTATATACTCATCTTAATCAAACATCATTGTTAAGAAGACATTATGTATGTCTCACTCTGGCATTTTGTTGTAATCGGCCCTCTCATTTTGTAGACATATTTTGGGATGGACATAGACAGTGTGAAGGAACACCTGAAGAGACAGGCCCTAAGGACCATGGTGAAGACATATGGACAGATGCCTAAACAGTTGTTCAAGCTGCCCCACCCTCAACAGGGGCAAGCTCAGCCTGGAATTCTCAAACAGCTAATTGGACAGACAGGGCCGAGTCATGGCCTGGACTACCGATCAGCACCCTATGTGGTATGACTTGTATTCCTGGCTCATTAAATATGTGTTCTGTCTTTTAAACTACATTTCAACATCAGTAGAGAAGACTATTTATAGGGACATTTGTCTAGGTTCAATCAATCTATTTTCATAATGTACCAATACAGTTAGACCTTAATATAATGCCCCTCATTTTGTTCGCCATTTCATTTACCACCAACATATCTCAAGGCCTCTAACCTCTTTATAATGCCACAATTTTGCTATACATATTGTGACAGTAGTTAAGTGTAGGATACTTGAACAACTGATGGTAGTTCAGCTTCATGTTTATCAGTGAATGTCAAACTGTAACACGAGGGTTATTGTCTTTGGTCTTCAGCCGAGCGTTGTTCCCACTGTGAGCAGCCTGAAGTGGGGAGTGTATGCAGGATCACCCCAGCTACAGCCCCCCACTGTTGTCTGGCAGGAGAAATATGAAAAGGCATTGGCCTCCCTGTTTGCATTGTCAACTGGTGAAATCATTGGTGTTGGGGAGGACAGCTATTGTGTTACCATGAATAGCAAACAGAAAGGTAGATAGATATTAATAATTGGCCAGAAAAACATGTTACTGCTTTCATGGAATGACATTCAATAATGTATGAATAAGAGGATGCTGATGATGTTTTTAGATGACGCCTATCTTGTCTGGCAAGCAGATCAGGAGTAGTACAGCTGTGTTAAACATGTAGATCAGGGAAAGTTGTTTTAGACATTCTGATTCATAAACGAAAAAAGAAGACAGAAAGACTTCACAGTTTGCTTGGCATTGATTGACAACTTCCAGCAGGAATGCAGCATTTGTTCTTAAAACAAAGACATCATTCAAATAAAATACATTCATTAGTGATTACAAAAATAAATGCAAATATTTTGTAGCATGTACCTATGTTAGTTTGTAGCTTTGATTCCATCCTTTGTGATGTGTAGCTGTCTTTGTTTTGGTTCTAGTTTCCACAGTGAACTTTTCAACAGATGTGACATGGGCAGCCATCATTGACTGGCAGCAGCCAGGAGGAATCCTCAGAATCAAAAACGACAAAAATCGACCAAAAACAAATTTTCTACAGCACAGCCCCTTTGAGCAGGTAAAATGACTTTCATCAAATCATGTCTTCCCTTTCCAATAGGATAGGTAGGTATACATTTTCACCAATGTCATCCATCCAGCTGGCATGTGACTTATGGTGTAGATGGAACTTTCTTGAAGACAACACCTTATAGGTCAGAGTCAACATCAACAGCTAAAATGTGTTTCTGTGCTTCTAGGTAATAATTGTGAATTGGCATGCAGTGACCAAACTTAATAATATATGCATAGGTTTGTTATATAGAAGGATGGATGCATTGAACAAATTATGTAAAGTCAAAAGATTGAAGTTTTATGTCACCATTATCCAATTTTTACATTTCTTACAATTATTTTTTACAGTTACTATTGCTTTTATAGGTAATATTGTAAATAATAAGTTTTCTATTTGTAATATCTTTTCAGATAACATGTTTAGCGTCAGTGCCAGACTGTCGTCTGCTGTTTATTGGAGGTACTGGAGGTGTGATCACAGTATACCAGACCATCCACAACCAGGCCAAGGTCAGTGGTCTTAACTCTAAAGATCAAATTACAGACATATATCTGATTGAACTTTTATGCCCAATAATGAATATGTTAGTCATTAAAGAGGGAAGCTTTTATTAAATATGTACAATATATATCGGTATGCAAAGTTACAAAGAAACACAAGTTAAAAAGGTTATGCTTGTGCCCTGTCTGAGTCTCAGACTTATAATTCCACGCACCAAATCACTTAGAAATACCTGCAACTGATCATTACATCATCATGGCCTCACAGATAATGAGAGAATGATCTAGTATAAATAAGTTACATACTTACAAACCCTATATAAATTTACTTTTGGATATTAACAACTCCGATTTGAGGAGAGACATCATGTGACAAGTGTCGATTTAACATGATTCCAATGTGAAATGAGGTGTGAGTTGATTAAACATATTTGATTAAAAAAATAACATGATAAAACAGTTCTGGACTTAAATTTGTTAATCTAATGATTTCTGGACCTGATTTGAGCAACATTCAACTCGACCAATAGATCTCAAACTAAAGTCGATAAATGTAAAATCAGACAAACAACTCAATAATTTCCAAATCTGATTTGACAATGTGTAATTACGATTGTTATACACGTAGGAAAGTCACATCCAGGTGAGAGGAAGCAAGAGGATGTTACACGGCCACACTGACAGTATTTCCTGCTTGGTGGTCAGTAAACCTTTCAGTGTATTGGTCAGTAGTAGTCACGACAACACTTGTGTCATCTGGGACCTCAACAGGTGAGTTAACCTCAACAGGAAATAAAAGACATAATATGATTACAGATTTTAACATGTTTTGAATATTTTTAAAAGGTACAGGTATATTGTACATAAATGTGTATTTAAACATGAACACATAAAAAGAGTATTGTAAACTGAATATGTTTTGTTGGGGCAGGTTGTGCTATGTGAGGTCAATATCTAGTCACAAGTCTGGAGTTAAGGCAGTGGCCATCAGTCCAATGCTAGGAGACATTGCCACGGTCAGCAGTCACGGTAGGTCATTCATCTTCTTCTGATATTGAATTCCTGTCAGGTTACATTTCAGACTAACTTTAATATCTATAATAGTATATATGTTAGCTTCCTTCTGTCAGTAAGCATGTGGCAGTTTTCATAAATCAGTCTATTTGAAATAAAATTTGTTTTGCCACTAACAGAAGTTTTATTACCCACTCATGATTAGTATTTGTATACAGCCATAGGCATGGATAGTCATTAGTTTATCTGCCTGGTAAAGTGACACAAACAGATGCAGAATTACACAGTATGGTCCCCTTATAGTCAACCCATATAGTCATCTGAGTAAAGACATATGTAGAAGTCAATGAGAGCCCTTCCTCCCCCCACCATACAAGGCAATGAAAGGATATACAGTCACCATGTTGGGCCTCACAATGGCCTTTTAGCTTTTGTTAATCTCCAATAGTCATGGTTACAACCACAGATGTATGTTTCAGGGCCAGGAAGCTGTCTCCAGCTCCACACAATCAATGCTGCCCTCGTGGCGTCCTGTATGTGTGAAGACACCATCCACTGTCTCACGTTCTCAGCTGCTCCAGAAGGACGATCCATCAATGTGATCGCAGGTGGTCTTAGCTCAGGAATGGTCAGGTAAGACTTCTTCCCTATGAATTCTTAGCAGAAATGCAAGTAAATGTAAAATGGTTTCCAATGTTGTTATTAGGAATCTATTTTATGTCCCAACAACATGGATGAGGTGGCATTCAAAGTTTGCCTTCTCTGTCAGTCAGTCGGTCCATACAACATCTTGGTTAGACTTAATGTTTCACTCCGTTACTCTTGCACAATGTACTAGAAGTCCAACAGTCAGTTAAATTAATATGTAGATGCATTTTGAGAAGTACTTCAGCAATATACCATATATAAGTCACTTTGGCCTATTTTTCAGTTAACAGACTTAGGTAAAACTTGAAATTATTGGTTAAGCTCCATGTCTTGCACACTAAATATCCAACTGTCTTCAAACTAGATATGGTGTAGAGACTTCTTGAGTAGTGCTACAGGAATATATAAAATGTAAGTCATGGTGACCTATATTGTCCTCTTCCCTGACTTCACAGCTTTATCTTCAAGTTTATTGAGAGTGTTAACTGTTAGATATTGTATACATGTATGTATGTATACATTATAGTCCAGGTGTTATCAAAGATTATTTGAGTGATTCAACGTTACTTTTAAGTTATGGGGAAAAGTAAGAAATGTTTCCTTTCGAACAAAACAGTGTACTTAATTTTCCTTACTATGAAACAGTTCTGATGAAGTTGACAAGATATGGTTTCTTTTGACAGGTTGTGGAGCAGCTGGAACCTTGCACCTCTGAGGGATCTACAACATGATTCCCTCCTGGCCAAACCTGTTATCAGGTAAGGTTCCTCACCTGTAACTATTGTCTTTATTGTAATTACATTATATATTAAGTGGTATAGTCTCTCACAAGTATGTTACTGTTGTAAAGTAATGGGAGTGCCACATATACTTGTCCTTTTTTTGCTACTGATGTCCTTGTCATAATAAGCAAATTTACCCGAAACTCAAAAAATACATCTCATGACATATTCTTAAAATAGATCACAACTTTACCTATTTCCACAAGACGGGTTACCCCAAAACTCGGGTGAAAACAATGCTATTACTGATCAAAGCCAACTGCAAACAGAATTAAGTTTGAATGAAATAATTGGTTTTGTTTAAACTACATGTACATGTACTACAATGATGTAATAGCTTATTCATGGACTAAATTGGAATTACTAAATAGTAATCAAGAATAGTTATTAGTAATGGGGTAACTATAAAGGTTAATATAGTATTCATTTGACACTGTATCAAATAATATTCTACCTAATAACACCATTGCTTGTGTGAAAACAGTCACATTTAGTGTGCAATTTTTTGTAAATTTAAAGTATGCATTTTACTTCATAAGTCAATCGAGTGGGACGTTCTGACACAAGTGAACATTCTTCATGTATGTGTTAAATTATGTATTGGGTATATGTGTTCGGCTTAGTTCTCTTGACCTAGTTGTTACAATGATATCAATCTAATCATGTGATCATAATTATAATGCGCTAATCAAATTAAATTTATAATTTCAGCCTGGCATACTCGTGTGATTCCCAGCGACTCTGTGTTTGTTCCTCGGATGGAACTGTGACAATGTGGGAGTCGGTGTCAGGCAGACCTACAAAGTGTACATCACCACAGTTTATGTCCTTCCTGTGAACTAAGGGAACTGTGAAGATGTGGGAGTCAGTGTCGGGCAGACCTACAAAGTGTATAGAACTGATGGAACTGTAAAGATGTGGGAGTCGGTGTCGGGCACACTTACAAAGTGTATAGAACTAATGGAACTGTGACAATGTGGGAGTCAGTGTCGGGCAGACCTACAAAGTGTATAGAACTAATGGAACTGTGACAATGTGGGAGTCAGTGTCGGGCAGACCTACAAAGTGTATAGAACTGATGGAACTGTGACAATGTGGGAGTCAGTGTCGGACAGACCTACAAAGTGTATATCACCACAGTTTATGTCCTTCCTGTGAACTGATGGAAAGTTCACCTAAAGCTTTTACAAAGTCGGCCCTTTAATGGGAAAGCTTGGATCACTGTTTTTGAAGTTTGGTAAATACCAAAGTACACCATGTTTGTTTTTATAACTGACTTCAGATAATTTATTTCTGAGAATAGAATTTCCCAAAGTGACAAATAAAATGTTACAATTTACTCTTCTATTTAATCCAGGAATATAATCTGATGAAATATATAAGATTTACAGTAATCAGGTATTCAAGTTATATATTACTCACCTGGTGTTGAGGCTTTTATTCTTGCCCTTTGAAGATGACAAAAGTTTGCCTGTATATTTTACTATTTGGAATATAAATAACATTTCTTTAGTCAAAGGGCTTTACATTTTAGCTCCCATAGAAATGGACGTCAGAGTGAACTCTCTTGCCAAATTTTAAATAATCGGAATAACCTTTTTATAACATTCCAGAAGTGAAGGGTACCCTGTACATAGAGTAGTTTTTATCTGTAGATGATAATACAGATTTAGTCCTGACTAGATACTCTCAGACCATATCTACAAGGTAGATGGTGTGGATGTATTTATACGGTTTGTGTGTTGTCTAGATCTGTATAATATGAAACGGTAAGAAACAGACAGTGTAGATGATTTATTTATACATAAGAAGTGATGATCTATAGAATGATCATGTTTATGTACACCTATGTGATAACTGTGGGATGGTTTTAATCTGCACATGTTTGAGAACTTTAATATGTATATATTTCTTGTCTGCCATTTATATTCTAGGAAAATTTTAATTATCAAACATTGTAATTAATGTAAATTTCTAATTACAAAGGTAGAAAATAATTATCATCCATCATCATGCATCATCTTACTCTCAAAACAGGGGTGACAAGTCTTAGATTATGTACAATGTTGTTTGTACTACCATAATCATACATTCCATGTATTGAAGGGTGCCATAGATTGGTTATACTTCAATTTTACATAATTAGATTATGTACCTGTATATGTTACACATTCCGTGTCAGACACAACGTTATGATATCAGTTAAACTGACTTACTGAATGTGGCCTATGCCTCCCTCACCTTAATCACCAAATTATAAAAACTTTTTTTTTTACTTTTAAAGATTTAGCTTCAAAATGTTAGCTAATGTATGATATATATTTCTACATGTAACTTACAATAACTCAGCTTAACAGGATCGACATTGCCAGCCATATGTAAACTGTTAGCAGCATAATATTTATGTCAAATGTCACTTCATGGTAATGATGTTGCACATACAAAAAAAGTATTTTTGATTGCAACTCAAATGAGTCATGTTGAAAAGTAAAAAATGTTCAGTAATTAGTCCCACTAAATATACAATTATGGTTTATTTGTGCACTATGTATAGTATGCCAAAGTGTAAAACTAGTCTTTTAAGAGATTAAGTAAGCTATTTCAAACTAAATATATTGATTTGGTTCAATTCATAACAAGGTAAATAACTATGTAGAAAAGTACTGTTCCAGACCAAATATATTGGTGATGTTTAGATGATTTGTACAAATTAAAAAAAGTTTAAATGATATAATGTTTCCATGATATAATGTGATGGTGAAATAATATATCAGTGATATAATTTATCAGTACCAGTAATATAATGTATCAGAGATGCATGTAATGTATCAGAGATGAAATGTATCGGTGACATAATGTATCAGTGATATAATGTATCAGTGATATAATGTATCAGATATAATGTATTAGTGATATGAGATGTAATATATTAGTGATATAATGTATGAGATGTAATATATTAGTGATATAATGTATGAGATACAATGTATCAGTGATATTTATAGATAATATACAGTATAAATTAGGGTTGACATATGCTTATGGTGTCGTATATGTGTATGCAGATCTTATAGATAAATTAGTCATATGGGATCAAATTTAAGGTTTAAACTTCGTCAATGGGATTTGTAAACAAGATAATAGATGTTGGGCCTCTAGAGAATCAGGTTTTCGTCTGTATCCGCAGATAAGGGAACATTGAAGAAACAAACTTGATCTGCTGCCCCCATCGCAACACTTTAAAAATACATCTCTTCTTCTCTTTTCTCACTTGTCTCCTTTTTCGTGGTGCAGTGTGACCCTGGCTGCAGTAAGGTCTTTTAGCCCCCCAAAAAGCAAAGAATAAACACTCATATTTTTTGTGCTAGTCTATCAGCCCTGTTGCTGGATTCTCAAAACACACTGGTGACTATGTGTTAACCAGTATTTTTCATGTTGAACTTTATCTACTCAAGTTTGTAAACCTGTATCCCTCTTTAGTGGGTTTACATGTATCTACACTTTAGTGGGTTTACCTGTATCTACACTTTAGTGGGTTTACATGTATCTACACTCTAGTGGGTTTACCTGTATCTACACTCTTATCAGCCCTGTTGCTGGATTCTCAAAACACACTGGTGACTATGTGTTAACAAGTATTTTTCATGTTGAACTTTATCTACTCAAGTTTGTAAACCTGTATCCCTCTTTAGTGGGTTTACATGTCTCTACACTTTAGTGTGTTTACCTGTATCTCCTCTTTAGTGGGTTTCCCTGTATCTACACTTTAGTGGGTTTACATGTATCTACACTCTAGTGGGTTTACATGTATCTACACTCTAGTGGGTTTACCTGTATCTACACTTTCGTGGGTTTACCTGTATCTTCACTTTCGTGGGTTTACCTGTATCTTCACTTTAGTTGGTTTACCTGCATCTACACTCTAGTGGGTTTACATGTATCTACACTCTAGTGGGTTTACCTGTATCTACACTCTAGTGGGTTTACCTGTATCTACACTCTAGTGGGGTTACCTGTATCTTCACTTTAGTGGGTTTACTTGTATCTACACTTTAGTGGGTTTACATGTATCTACACTCTAGTGGGTTTACCTGTATCTACACTTTAGTGGGGTTACCTGTATCTACACTCTAGTGGGTTTACCTGTATCTACACTTTCGTGGGTTTACCTGTATCTACACTCTTATCAGCCCTGTTGCTGGATTCTCAAAACACACTGGTGACTATGTGTTAACCAGTATTTTTCATGTTGAACGTTATCTACTCAAGTTTGTAAACCTGTATCCCTCTTTAGTGGGTTTACATGTATCTACACCTTAGTGGGTTTACCTGTATCTACACTCTAGTGGGTTTACCTGTATCTTCACTTTAGTTGGTTTACCTGTATCTACACTCTAGTGGGTTTACATGTATCTTCACTCTAGTGTGTTTACATGTATCAACACTTTAGTGGGTTTACCTGTATCTTCACTCTGGTGTGTTTACCTGTATTTACACTTTAGTGGGTTTACCTGTATCTACACTTTAGTGAGTTTACCTGTATCTACACTTTAGTGGGTTTACCTGTATCTTCACTTTAGTTGGTTTACCTGTATCTACACTCTAGGGGGTTTACATGTATCTTCACTCTAGTGTGTTTACATGTATCTTCACTTTAGTGGGTTTACCTGTATCTACACTCTAGTGGATTTACATGTATCTACACTCTAGTGGGTTTACCTGTATCTTCACTTTAGTGGGTTTACCTGTATCTACACTCTAGTGGGTTTACCTGTATCTTCACTTTAGTGGGTTTACCTGTATCTACACTCTAGTGGGTTTACCTGTATCTTCACTTTAGTGGGTTTACCTGTATCTACACTCTAGTGGGTTTACCTGTATCTTCACTTTAGTGGGTTTACCTGTATCTACACTCTAGTGGGTTTACCTGTATCTTCACTTTAGTGGGTTTACCTGTATCTACACTCTAGTGGGTTTACCTGTATCTTCACTTTAGTGGGTTTACCTGTATCTACACTTTAGTGGGTTTACCTGTATCTACACTTTAGTGGGTTTACCTGTATCTACACTTTAGTGTGTTTACATGTATCTACACTTTAGTGGGTTTACCTGTATCTTCACTATAGTGTGTTTACCTGTATGTATCTTCACTCTAGTGTGTTTACATCTTCACTTTAGTGGGTTTACCTGTATCTACACTTTAGTGGGGTTACCTGTATCTACACTTTAGTGGGTTTACTGTATCTACACTTTAGTGGGTTTACCTGTATCTACACTTTAGTGTGTTAACATGTATCTACACTTTAGTGGGTTTACCTGTATCTACACTCTAGTGTGTTCGCCTGTATCTTCACTTTAGTGGGTTTACCTGTATCTACACTTTAGTGGGTTTACCTGTATCTACACTTTAGTGGGTTTACCTGTATCTACACTTTAGTGGGTTTACCTGTATCTACACTTTAGTGGGTTTACCTGTATTTCAATCTATTGTGTTTACCCATATTTTACTCCAGTATATTACTTACCATTGGTTTTGTAAATTACCAGATTACTATCAAATTCACTGATGTAATTGTTATTCTTGAAGATGTGTGCTAGGTGTTTAATTATGACTGTGATATGTTAGAGATTTTACTATTTGAGTTTCTTGTTATTTTTTTACACTGAGCTTGTTTGAAAAACAAACTTTTAAACAGTAAAACAGATACCACCAATACTTTGTTGTATGTCGTTTTTCTCCTCCAGTATAAATTGGTATTTTATACACAACCAGAACACTATTATACAGTCAGATAAATGTAATGTATTAACTGCACAATGCAACATGAATCAACATTGTAATCATATGAGTAAACACTTCTAATTAAATCTAATAACATTTGCAACATCATACATTCATATAACACAAGTAAACTTACAGTGTGACATATAATATAGCTTATTCTCAGGTCAAAAGCTGAGTGGGGATAAAGCTTGGTGGGTACTTTTTTTGTCGCAAATTGTTTAAAGAAGTCTTTTTTCTTTCTTTTATGAACCCTCCTAAAATTGGCAATATCTTTTTTTGCTCACCTGCCCAAAGGGCAAGTAAGCTTATGCCATGGTGTGGNAAGCTTGGTGGGTACTTTTTTTGTCGCAAATTGTTTAAAGAAGTCTTTTTTCTTTCTTTTATGAACCCTCCTAAAATTGGCAATATCTTTTTTTGCTCACCTGCCCAAAGGGCAAGTAAGCTTATGCCATGGTGCGGCATCCGTCGTCTGCANGATGAAGGGCTTCAAAGTTTTTTTTCAATAACCAAAAGGCCTGGAATGATGATATTTGGCCAGTAACATACTGGGGTGAAGGGCTACCATGTTTGTTCAAATGAATGACCTTGACCCACTTTCAAGGTCACTTGGGTCAAATGTCTTAAAATCTTCGAACAACTTCTTCTCAATAAACAAAAGGCCCAGGGTACTGATATTGGCCCTGTAGCATGCTGGGATAAAGGGCTACCAAGTTTGTTGAAATGAATGACCTTGACCAACTTTCAAGGTCACTGGGGTCAGATGTCTTAAAATCTTCAATCAACTTCTTCTCAATAACCAAAAGGCCCAGGGTACTGATATTGGACATGTAAGCATGCTGGGATGAAGGGATACTAAATTAGTTGGGGTTCAAATGTGTTAAAATCTTCAAACAACTTCTTCTCAGTAACCGAAAAGCCCAGAATACTGATATTGGGCCTGTAGTATGCATGGATGAAGGGCTACCAAGTTTGTTCAAATGAATGACCTTGACCCTTTTTCAAGATCACAGGGGTTAAATGTATTTAAAATCTTTAAACAACTCCTTTTTCTGAATACAAAGAATAGAATAGAGGCAAAGGGTAAAAATATTTTGCAAGCAACATGCTGGGATGAAGGGCTACCAAGTTTGTTCAAATGAATGACCTTCATCTATTTTCTAGGTCACATGGGTCAAATATGTTAACATCTTTTAAAAACTTCTTCTCAATAACCAAAAGGCCTTGGATGATGATATTTTGCCAGTAACATGCTGGGATGAAGGGCTACCAAGTTTGATTAAACAAATGACCTTCATCTATTTTCAATGCCACAGGGGCCAATATGTTTAAAACCTTTACACAACTTCTCCTGAATACCCAAGAGGCCTAGAATAATGATATTTGACCAGTATCATACTCAGATGAAGGGCTTCAAAGTTTGTTCAAATGAATTACCTTCGTCTATTTTTAAGGTCACAGGGGTCAAATATGTTTAAAACCTTTAAACATTTTTTTCTCAATAACCAAAAGGCCTGGAATGATGATATTTGGCCAGTAACATACTGGGGTGAAGGGCTACCATGTTTGTTCAAATGAATGACCTTTGCTCATATTCAAGGTCACAGGGATCAAATATGTTTAAATCTTTAAAGGACTAGATCTGAATATTCAAAAGGTCCAGGGTAATGATATTTAGCCAGATTTACGCTGTGACGGAAGGCCATAAACTTTCAAGGTCACAGGCGTCATATGTTTAAATCATTTGATAGATTCAAATGGATTGAACACAGATATTTTGCCTGTAGCTGTATATTAGTCCACTTTTAAGATTACAAGTATGAGATTAATACCAGGTGAGTGATTCAGGCCCATTGGGCCACTTGTTTTAATGAAACTCTTGCACATGTTAAAACAATCCTGTGTATAAAAGTAAAATTGCATACTTGCCAACTCTCTCTATTTAGGAGGGAGATTCCTGATTTCGGACGCAGAAATGAATCTGCTTAACTACTCCTTTATTCTAAGATCTAATGATTTCATCTGAAAGAACAATTCAAAATATGTCATTTTAAAGGGTAATTTGGTTCTAGGGGTTATATACAGACATTTTATTTACGTTTTTAATTTTGAGCACTCAGAATCTCCCCAATGGAATTTTCAAAATGTTGGCAAGTATGAAATTGGTATTACAAAACAAGGAAAAGCTTTTACATTTATGAAATATGTATATTTATTGCACATCCATATAGATACTAAATAATACACAACTTTACAATGCTTCTATAATATAAAATAATATTCACAACTGGTAATGGGTACCTGGTAATGCTTCTACTATGTATATGAAAATGATATTCACAATTCTACTAGAGTAAAGCTTATATGTAAATAGATTGTGCTGCTCCACCACATAGTATTTTTTATTGCAGTTTAAGTTTCTTCATTGCTATTGCTTCAAATGTCATTGAAATCTGTCATCATGGTAATTTATGGTAATTACTCAGGTAATTGTATTGTATACATGTTATGGTAGCCCAGGTAATTATATTGTATACATGTTACATGTAGTTGTTGTAACATCATGTTGAGCTGGTTACGTTCAACTGCAGCTTCCTTTTTTTAATTTCATGGAAAGTATAGAAATGATTTCTGATATGTTATAATGATGGCTTGAATCAGATCACATTCTACAAAGTTGAATATCAGTTTTTTTGTTTGGTGTATATGGAGAAGATACAAGTTAGTTATAAGTGAATACATTGTATTTTTACACACATTAACAACTCTTCAACTTTCGTGTATGAAATACCACATAATGTAAAATTTAATGTATATGAACACAACATCTACAGGAATTGAAATATGAATGCACAGGTAGGAAGAATTAGAAGTTTCAAGGAACTCAGATTGAATGTTAACCTTATTTGAAATTGGACCACACATTCTCAGAAATTACCTTTAGATGATTGGTGTAGTCTTCACCTTGTACATGTATAAACCATCTGGTCTCCGGTTTGAATCAATGTTGTCACATCAAGCCTAAACTCTAGTCCAATGACAACACTTTGAGGTATAAACAGGTATATCAGCAGTTGATCTTGACCAAGTGCTAGTCTTAGACTTTAATTTTCAATACAAGACACCAAGATTACAACACTGACCATACATGTACGGGTATAGCACCAAATAACATCGCCTCAGCAAATTTGTAACAAACACAACAAGCAATTGCTTCTTCATAAGGTAAGGAGGGAAAGTGAAGTGCACTCCAAAATCAAAAAGAAACCGATTCCATAATGAAAGTTGTTGACTTTGAGCATTTGATTACTGACTTTGACGTATAAATATACACTTACATATGGATTATATCGAGTGAGAACATTAATTCATTACTGATTGCATGATATGCTTTACATTTAACCTATGTAAACCTCTGTTTTCACGTACTTATTGTGTCCTTTCAAACCATTCAAGGGTTTAAATTAAATCTTAGACTCTTCGGGTTATTTTTAGTTTGCTTTTGAATAAGTATATAATGGTCCCTATTCCGTCTTTGCGTATTGCAGAGTTATCTTATCTTGGGAGCAGGTATTGATTGTTACGTCACTTGTTTGCGAGAGGAACGTCATCAATTTTTGAGAAAACAACGTAATTTTCTCGCACAAACCAATGACGTAACAATCAATCCCTGCTCCCAAGAGAAGATAACTCCGCAATACGCAAAGACGGAATATATTTCCGATGTTGGAATCAAATATGAATTTGGTCATATCTAACCTTTTTCAAAGCTAAAAAAATACTTAATTCATTACAGACATATGAATAAATATATCCGACATCTGATGTGTGATCCACTTACTAAGAAGATTAGTGACGTGATTTACAGTGTTGGACTTGGTTCACATTAAAGCGCTGATTACTCCACTCAAACTTTTAAAGCCTCATTCTTAAATAGCATTTCAAACAACACTTGAATTTCCACATAAATATTTTGGTACATATGTATTAACTTTACAACATCTATGAATAATGCGAGGACTTATTCACAAAACAAATTAGTACATCTACAATTTAACAGTACATACAATGTATAAATGTTATACAAGGAAACCTCAATATAATGCCTGGAGTTTCACTTGCCAACTTACTTACCACTTACATTTTTCAATGTCCCTTTTTTCCTAACAATCTTAACATCACCAAATCCCTTTATAATGATTTGGCACTGGACTTATGATGGCAGTAAAACAGAATTCATTGTATACACTTTATTACCATGCAAACAGCACACAATGTATTAAAAGAGATTGATACTTAAAGATCAACAAAATTTTGCATCCTTTAAAGGCATGATGGAAGTTACAAATTGATTTAAGGATGAGATGTATACTCAGATCTTGAAGTGAAAAGCATCCAGTAAAATTAGATTAAATATGTAAAAAATACACAACAATTATAGTGCAATAGCACTACAAGTTAAAAGGCCATTATTGTTTATGTGTTATATCTAGAACACATTATTTCTGTGATTGTAATCAGATAAGATGAGTATCACCAGGATATATAATGTCCAAACAGTTGATGTGTAATGGAGGTGACCGACAACCTTACTAACACCAACAATAACGTTACAGTGCTACAGATTGAGCAACTCTCTCTCAGCTTGTGTAACTACAAGATAAGGCAAAAAAGTAAGCTATACCAAAAACATTAGAACTATATTTCTTTGTTATTGTAATACAAACATTAGCCAAGTTTATTTACTAAAAAAAATAATGAAAATAACATGTTAACATCAACATCAGCACAAAAATAATCCAGATCTGTAAAACCATTGCAGTATCTATCTAGCAATAAGTCCATGCCTGGTAATAAGCCCATCCATGGTAATTACGTTTCAGTGGAGATGCCAACACATACTATTTCATTGACCTCTTACGAGCCCACCCCCTGCCTTGTATCATATACCGGTAGTTTTTTATGCATTGGATGCCTGGATTTACTGCAAGATAAATATGGTAATAGTCACTGGTCCCAGCAGTGAAAGATTGTTCTATCATTGCAGTCACTACCAGTTGTCAAGGAATGTGAATCCAGTCATAGGAACAGATGAGTCGGGTCGCTCTGCTGACACCTGTTATAAAATGAAAAAGCTGTCACCATGGGGAAGCAAATATTTCTTATAAAGTTATGATATTGTATTTAAATATAAAATATGTGTGAAACAACTCTAAATTTCTTTCAGCATTGACTAATTATTAATTTCAAAGAGCTTGCATTGAATTAAGAAAAAAGTCATGTAAGAAAACTCCTATTCTACGTGATCTTGATCACATTCATATACATGAATCATTAAAAAATAACGTTCTAGTGTGATGCAAATCCTGTTCTGTCATGTATTAGCTTGTTCTATATATGAGGAAAATCTGAGTATACAATATACAGTAGAGGTATATACAATGTATGATAGCACATCTGCCTTGACTTCAAAATCATCTAGAAAGATGTTTAGATAGTATACTACAGTAAGACAAACAGGATTTTAAGACAAAGCAGTATTAAGTGAATACATGAAGTGTTTGAACAATATTTACCTCCGACTCTCGTAACACAACCCTGTCTGATCCAGACAAGACTGAGCCATGGAATTCAGTGACCTCTAGTAGCCCTGCCTGATCATCGTTTAGGTCAAGGGTCCTCTTGGCACCATCAAGCAGGTCCGTCTGCTCCTCCCGCTCCATCATCTGTGCCCTAGGCTCCCTTAACAACGGTTTCCTCGACGGTGATGAGGTTGTACTACTAATGCTTTCTGTCTCCTCATCCATCAGGTTTTGTCCTCGGATATTCATTGCAGGATTATCAAAAGCATTACTTTCTATGTCTTTGTGTGCTTTGGGAAATTCCTTTTTGGACACCTCATCAGTAACAAGTTCTTGTTCCTCTTCCTGTCGACGTTTTGAGAATGAGGAAGACAGTTTCAATCTGGTAGCAACAGGAGATTTTGATGAAGCCTTTTTTGGAAGTTTTTTAATGGGTTGGGGAGCTGTATGTGATATTTCCTGCTCTTGATTTTCTGTAGGTTTGTCATCAGTAAGAGAAGGCTGTAAAACATCTGAGACACAGCTATCCCTCACGTTACCATGACCACTGTAATACGTATCTTTGATTTCTGGCAATATAAAATTATTCGGATCAGATTTCCAATTTTTGTACTTGTCAGATTCCCAGATACTGGGATTGGTGTGGTAGAGAAATTCTGGTGGGGCTGTAGGTCGCTCTTCATTTTCTTGTCCTGTCTTTGACTTGCCAGCTCCTTTAGAAGGCTGAGGTTTGGAAAGCTTTTCTGGGTCCAAGTCTGACAGTGTTAGGTCTTGTTGACTCTGAAAGTACATTTGCACTGTAAAACACTGGTAAAGCAACAAAACTATCAAACACAGAAAGTGCTACAGGACAATGATGCCCCACGAAACATTCATATTGTGGAAGCATAAAGTGTCCTAACTGAAATGTAAGACTGGCCTTAAAATGAATATAAATTACATGTTTTCAGGACAGTGTATTAAAATCCACATTTTTTTTTCAAATCCTTTTTCAGTGTTTTCGTTTTATGATGATCTAATCCATGGATTAGTTCAGCATTATCTTGTCTAGAACAATCAGTTTTATCACATACAAAATACTCTGTCCAGTGTACATGTTCTTATGAGAAAAATATACACAGTTCCTAAACTCTTGTCCATTATGTATTTGACTGTGACAGGAAAGGTGTTTTCAGTGTGCACTAAGTTTATAACTACATACTTTTGACTTATAATGAAAAATACTTTTAACTTACAACTATAGCCTTGGACATGAAGAACTACATACCTGAGAGTCACTTACAACTATAACCTCCGACATTAAGAACTACATACCTGAACCTTAATTACAACTATACATATCTGACATATCTTAATTAAGAAGCATTGTCACTTCATATTTCAGAATAATGTTTACATACCTTTGACCGCCATGAAAAGGGAGCTGAATGCACATCTTGCCAGGACCATATCTGCACAAAAAAGATATTGTAAAATGAAACAGCACAAATTGCAAACAAATTAAAAATTCAGATAATACTGTAACATCTAGATAAACATCATGCATTTTTTAACTTAAACTATCCGAACTTATATCAGTGAATATGACCACTTACCATGTTGATTTTAGCTTATAGACTGGTCCAATATCTACTTCCTACATATTTTTTTCTTTTTGGTTTTCATTATTCATAAACGACATTACATGTATTAATGAAGTTTCATTCAATGTTGGGATTTTTGTTGATTGTAAATCTTATATGCAGTTGCATTGTAGATACTGATAATAACCAAATACAATGTACCATCTTGTGAACTTATAAGCAAAGATTTTTAGTTAATGAGTCTGTTAAAGATTAACTTTAATGAAACAAAAGGTCCAACAATCTAAAGAAGAAGACTTTACCAAGATCAGCCAATTATTTTAACAGTCATGTCATTACTGATTGTGACTGATAAATATAAGGTACATAACCTGGTTAACTTGGTCAATAATAAAACATTAAGGCTGATGTCTTCATAAACGCAGCTCACCAGACTTATTTTAACATGTCAATCTCTTTTGCTACCAAACTGAATGCTACGAAATGACATATTATTTAAAGTTCATTTATATACCTAGATCATGTAGAGCTTAATTTCACTTTAATTAGGTGTGGGAAGGCATATATCGGCCTCAAAAGTGGATTGTTGTGTGGCTATAGAAATGTACAAAAATCATTGTAAAACATCCGGGTAATATATTTTACTGGTACATGTATATATTTGTGTAAAACCATAGATCTATGACCATAAAAACTACAAAAACAGACTTCATAAAAAGTGTCCTTTCTTAACATTTAATATTGTAATAAAAAAGCTAAACATGTTATTAACATAACCATACTTTTCAGTTTAACATGTCTAGCACAGTATCACCTAATGTTATTAAATGGCACATCTTCTAAAGTTTGTTTATCTTCTTATTTATAACCTGCTAAAATATATAACCAGAGGATTTAACTATGATTACAGTTGTTTCGCATGGCAACATCTATCTTGATTTGAGGTCGGGATTCCTCACAACAGCTAGTAGAAGAGAAATAAAGCTCTGCATGACCCAGGTACATGTACATTTGTATATAAATAAACTTAAAATTACATGTCATTTCTCAGCACTCTGTTGGGTCACAAAAGACATTGACATGTTATATAAATTCGGTGAACTACTTTTATGAAGACATCATCAGCCATAATGCCTTATTTTTGACTACCTTAACCTGGCTATGTATTTGTTTTTAGCCAATGTACCAGTCCAATATATTCAAATTAAATAATTATTTAAGTTCCTATTTTTAATTGCGGTCTTTGAATACGACTTATCAGGGGGTTGACATTTAGGTTGACTATAGCATTTATTAGAGAGCATGTTGAACCTTAACATGGCATACATGTACACAGGTCCCTGTGGACTGGCATGCACATTATTAATTATTAATGATTATAATTAGATTATTTCATGTTTGTTATATCATATGGCATCAATATTTGCAATATCTGGTTTAAAAAAATAAAAATTTATCAATTTAAAATACTTGTTAACATGTTAATTTAAGCTAAAATCTGGCAAACGTGTCGCAGCTGCCACCACTGGTACTCCGGACACGCCCATTAACATAGTACATAGTATATCTACCTATTTGTTCCAGCGCAACACCTAATTAAATAAACTTACATCACTGTCCATGTCTACGATTATTTTTTCTCCAGATTGGACGAATAATTTTGGAAAAGATACGGCATAATGATTGTCTTTTGTGTTGGTAACGTATTTCTCCCGAACACTTCGGTCAACGAAAAAAGCGTCAAGTGCTTCTTCCTGTTTCTTCCAATCCAGTCCATCCCACTCTTCATTCAAAATGTTCTTCGCTAATTGAGTCTCGTGAATAACTTTCTTGGCGAGTGGATTAACAGATGCAAAATATGCCAATGCTTTTTCTTCCATGATCGACGAGGCCTTCTCAGATGGAGTATATTTAGAATCTAACGAGAATTCCTCGATCTCATACCTCCTCTGACGACATTGTTGACGTTTATTCGATGTTAGCAAAACGCTTGTAAATGCCGGACTTTTAATGATCGGTTTCGTTTCTTAGGGACGCATACGTTTATTGCGATGATTCCTCCAATATGACCATCAATATACGTTTTCAACAATTCCTTTTGAACTATTTACGTGCTTATCTGCCGATGTATGTCATTTTTCGCGATTTACACAAACTTCAAATAGATTACCGGAAATGACGTTTTGTTACGGTCATGGCAAGTTTCGTTTTCTGTCTGTCAGCATGTGTGGTGAAGTATGGTTATTGCTGTTAGATTATTGAACAAAATATCGTATAACTATTGACAACTTACGGAAGAATGAATGAGGATGTGTTGTTTCATTTTCGAAAAATAATGAAAGTGAAAGTTGGTGGCCTTTTCTACTAATATAATCATGACTCGTGATTCAAAAACCTACTTTCGATTTGTGATATATTTCTAAGAATTGCATAACGCCAACGTAAGTTTTACACGCGGCCACATCGACAAAGTGAGTTGGTTTAATACCTTACGAAGATCTACAGGCACGGTGATACGGAGAGTAATGGCGAATTATCCACAAAATTACCCAGGGTAAGGATTATACATAACGCCTATAGGCCTATGTGTATGTATGTATGTGTCCCGTATTATGTATCTGACTGATCAAACAATTGAATATAGAAACCAACGCAATAGATGATGAACCATAGTGAAGATATCCAAAACGAAACAAGAGAACGTCGGAGGACAAGATTCTAAGGCTTTAAGGACAAACTTCCGCATATAAATTAATCACAGGAAGCATATTATATAGGTATTTTTTTTTATACTGTTATTATTAATTTTTGACATAACTTCAGGCTCAAGTGAATTAATGAACAAAAGTAACAGGGATAATCCTTGAGGGGACCATTGACCATTGCTGTTAGTTATTTTCATGAATAGTATAGTGATGTATGGTGTTCTGTTTTTGGGTATTGTCTGCTAGATATATAGCCAAACTACTTGAGAGTGAAGTGGATAAAACCACTCAAACAACAAATTAACAAGCTGATACATGTCTCTATAAGAAATACACAAAATACCAGAAAGGCCATACCAGCAAGGCCATCAAATAGTTCTTACAAACTGTATGACTCTGTTGTTGACTCTACCCCAAGCTCAGTAATTACCAATAACCTCAGTAATTACCAATAACCTCAGTAATTACCGATAACCTCAGTTATTACCGAACAACAATGTCAACAGTACTCCATCCTGGTCAAATGGCAATAAAAGTAACGTAAATGTGAACTCCACAACCGGCTCAGGTTTACAGTCATGCAGTTCTGTTGACCGTGGCTTTTTACAAATCTCTCTTTCACGAGTCCACAATGCCCATTCCCATGGCCACATAATCTCCAATAAACCCTAAAAGAAGATAAAAAAAACTTGAACAAAAAATGTCAAAAATGTCAGGGGTTTTGCCAGCTATTTTAGGAAAGGGTCCCTGAGCAGGTATTGGGGAAAATGTCATTGTCATTTGGCAAAAATTGGAAAATATCATCAGTGTTCCCACATGTACAGCCGAACCTCGTTATCTCGAAGTCGACGGGGTCGTGGGAAAACTTCGAGTTATCCGAGTATTCGAGTTATGCGGGTTCATAAATTTGGTATGAAATTTGCTGTTGGGACAAACCACTAGCAGTTGTTGGCTTTGTTAATAGTTAATGCTTATAATCAATAGATAAATGATAAACGTAATCAATATAACAAATACAGCTATGTAGTTTTACAATAAACACGCTTACAAAAATAGAGTAAGTTATTTCAGAAAAACGTACTTTTTACGTTTTTAAACGCGATCCAAACGGTTGGACCATATTGTGAATTCGTTATTAAATATGGCCGGGCCTAGTGATTCAATGTTGTTTTTGGCTAGTATAGATCTTGGTAAAGTCGTTCCAGGTCTGCATTTGTATTTGCAAGTCCCGTCAAGTTTTACTTCTGAAGTGTTACATTTAAAACCGAACTATCCCGCTGTCTCCGACCTCGTAGTTTACAATGCGAAAATGAAAGTGCGCAAGTCCAAAACAAATCACTGTAATGGAGTGTACGCATAGTTGATTCTGTAAATGAAAACTCACACAAACAAATTACACGTGACACATTGATTCATTAAAGCCAAATATGACACCTGACACCTCCTCAGCTTGATGTAATCAACGGCAATTATCGTATTGTTCTTAAATCTCTCGATCGACTTTCAAAGCCATACTGGCTCCTGTAAAAACATGAACCCGTTAAGCTGTTCTAGGTTGTGATTTTAACTGTGGAACTCTTTTATGCATGACCACGCTTTGTGACCAATTTTCCGGTTTGCAATGTCGTCTGTTTTTGTGTACAAATCATTAAACGGACTCGCAGTAAGTACAGAGTACTGTTGATCAACATTGATGCAGTTTGTTTTTTATTTTGAAGCTTTATCGTAAATTCTTTTTTACCGATTTCATGCTAGTCTACTAACGAAAGATGCTCTTAACAAGGAATGGCGAAATGTCGTACTTTTGCGTTTTATTTGTGTCAAAGAATTAACAAGTGACAAAATGAATTTCGAACGCTATGAAGTAGATGATGTTTTGATGTTGGATTAACGCTATTGAAACCAATATTTTACTTCGAGGTATCCAAGTTTTTCGACTTTTCAGGGTTCGAATTATCAGAGTTTTATTTACTAAGATAAAGAAGAGATTTGGCCGGGACCGGAGAAATACTTCGAGATAAACGGGGTCTTCGAGTTAAAAGAGTTCGAGATAACGAGGTTCGACTGTACATATATTTGGAATATATCATAAGAACACATTAATTTCCAGTGTTTTTATTCAATTTCAATTTAATTTTTTTATGTATTTTTAATGCTCCATCATAGATCGTAATACTTAGAACTTTGCACATATAATGACTGGAAATTTGCATAAACATGTTTCTAATCCAATTGGGAAAATGAAGACTAAAATTGGGAAATACAGGGTAATTTTTCAATTGAGAATCAGTGGTCCCTGTTAATGGACCCTATAAACACATGGCAAAAACCATGAATGTATTCCCTAAGAACTTTATTAATAAATTTCCAGAGTGCTGAATCTTAAAGACATGAAATGTCACTTTTAATTAAATCTGCCAAGCCTGACATTCTCATTGACACTGAAACATGGTTGAAGCAAGAAATATCCAACTCAGATTTTTTTCCTTGTGACTTTGACATATTTAGAAATGACCTAACTGAAAAAACGGAGTGGAGGGGTACTGTTAGCTATCTGTAACTCTAGCATACACAAGAAATAAAGTTGAAATGATAGCTGCTAAAGTACACCTAGCTAAACAAAAGCCATTAGTAAGAGTGTCTTACTATAGATCACCAAATATATCAGACCCCTATGCAGTATATCCTGGATACTGTTTCTGAATTTAAAAAGATCTCTCATGACTTTCCTAACCATACTCTGTGGATAGGGGGAGACATAGAATGGCCTGATGGAAAGGTTACTAATAATCAATATCCTAAGGCACTGTTTGAAGATCTTGCATCGAGTCAAATAGTTAATTTCCCAGCTATATCAAACAACACATTAGATTTGTTTTTGACAAATGTGCCATAAATGGTCAACAAATGTATTAAACCAATTCCAGGAGTCTCAGATCATGATGATATTACGCTGATTGTCTACCATGCCACATCGTGCCCTCCTAAAAGAAAACCCAATCAGATAAATGCCCTTGGTCTTCTTGAAAGGCTTTGAAGTAGGTTGGGTACATATAGGTTGGCCATTTTTAGCTCACCTGGCCCAAAGGGCCAAGTGAGCTTATGGCATGGTCTGGCGTCTGTCCGGCGTCAACTTTTTACTTTTAAACAACTTCCTCTGAATAACCAAGAGCCCAAGGCTGATGATATTTGGCCAGTAGCATGCTGGGATGAAGGGTTACCAAGTTTGTTCAAATGAATGACCTTTGCCCATTTTCAAGGTGACAGGGGTCAAATATGTTAAAATCTTTAAGCAACTTCTTCTGAATAACCAGAAGGCCCGGGATGATGATATTTGGCCAATATTATGCTAGGATGAAACACTACCAAGTTAGATCAAATAAATGACCTTCACTCATATTCAAAGTCACAGGGGTCCTTAAAAACCTTTAAACAACATCATGTAAAACCAAAAGGTCCAGGGTGCTGATATTTGGCCAGAAGGATGTTGGCATGAAGGGCTACCAAGTTTGTTCAAATAATGACCTTCACCCATATTCAAGGTCACTGGGGTCAAATATGTTGAAATCTTTAAACAACTTCTTCTGAATTACCAAAATGTCTAGGATGATGATATTTTGCCAGTAGCATGCTGGGATGAAGGGCTTCCAAGTTTGTTCAAATGAATGACCTTCATCCTTATTCAAGGTCACATTGGTCAATTGTCTTGAAAACCTTTAAACAACTTCTTCTGAACAACTAAAGCATACAGGGTGATTGCTTGTTGATGTGAATGACCTTGAAATACTTTCATAGTCACATATGGTCCATAGTGCATAAATCTTTAAAAGTCATCTTTTCAATAAACAAAAGTTATAAGGTGGTGATGTTTGGCAAGTTGCATTCTGGGAAGAAGGGCTATGAAGTTTTTTCAACTTAATGTCCATGTCACAGGGGTCAAATGTGTTTTAATCGTTTAACAGGTTCTCCTGAATGACTTTTAGTCAAGACACTGATATTTTGCCTGTAGCTTTATTTAAGTCCACTTTTAAGGCTACAATTGTGAGATTAATACCAGGTGAGCGATGCATGCCCATTGTGCCTCTTGTTTTGTTAATATCTTTAATAAATACCATTGTATGTATTAGAGATCCTGACTCACATACATGTGTTGTCTCCCAATATGACTGGGAGTCTCCCTGTTTGAGCATATAATTTAATTGAAACTTAGCTAGAAATATGTTTAGTAGAATAATTGTCATATTTTTGGGATAATAATTTACTATTGGTTTTGCTTTTGCTCATATCTCTATTATGTCTAATTTATTGCAAAGCCCCACCATTGTTTTGATGAGATTTTGATTGTTTAAAAGAAGATTTGAAAACATACATTGTGTTCTTTTCCCTAAAATTATGGTAAAAATTGATAAATATGCTGTGATGCCACGGAAAAGTCTTTCTTCTTCAAATCACAAATCTCCTTACTTCGTGTTCCAAAGGCATGATCACACGTGTGGACTCATTCAGTGCTTATTAAATATTAAAATTTAAAAAAAATACCAAAGCTCCTTAAAAACAAAATATCAGCGCTTATAATTATAACTGCTGGTCACATTAATGGAAAACATCATTTGGGTATAACGTTGAAGTTTGAAAATGAGTGAAATACAGTATGGATGCTAGTCATAAAATGGGGGGAAATGGGAAATGAAGTTGAAAGTATCAATGCATTTTATACACCTTAAACATGTCAATTAGTCCTAACTTGGTTGGCTGCAAATGACATGGCTGTCCAGTTGCAAGAGCATTCTTCTAGTGGCTGAAGGTCATTGTTCTTCTAGTGACTGAAGGTCCATGTTCTTCTAGAGGCTGAAGGTCATTGTTCTTCTAGAGACTGAAGGTCAACGCTCTTTTAGTGGCTGAAGGTCGATGATCTTCTAGTGGCTGAAGGTCAATGTACTTTAGAGGCTGAAGGTCAATGTTCTTTAGAGGATGAAGGTCATTGTTCTTCTAGTGACTTAATTCAATGTTCTTCACGAGGCTGAAGGTCACTGTTCTTCTAGTGGCTGAAGGTCAATGTTCTTCTAGAGGTTGAAGGTCAATGTTCTTTAGAGGATGAAGGTCATTGTTCTTCTAGTGGCTGAATTCAATGTTATTCAAGAGGCAGAAGGTCAATGTTCTTCTAGAGGCTGAAGGTCATTGTTCTTCTAGTGACTGAATTCAATGTTATTCACGAGGCTGAAGGTCACTGTTCTTCTAGTGGCTGAAGGTCAATGTTCTTTAGAGGCTGAAGGTCATTGTTCTTCTAGAGACTGAATTCAATGTTATTCAAGAGGCTGAAGGTCAATGTTCTTCTAGAGACTGAAGGTCAACGCTCTTTTAGTGGCTGAAGGTCAATGGTTTCTAGAGGCTGAAGGTCCATGTTCTTTTAGTGGCTGAAGGTCGATGATCTTCTAGTGGCTGAAGGTCAATGTTCTTCTAGAGGCTGAAGGTCATTGTTCTTCTAGAGACTGAATTCAATGTTATTCAAGAGGCTGAAGGTCAATGTTCTTCTAGAGGTTGAAGGTCAATGTTCTTCTAGAGGCTGAAGGTCATTGTTCTTCTAGAGACTGCGTTCAATGTTATTTAAGAGGCTGAAGGTCACTGTTCTTCTAGTGGCTGAAAGTCAATGTTCTTTAGAGGCTGAAGGTCATTGTTCTTCTAGTGGCTGAAGGTCAATGTTCTAGAGACTGAAGGTCCATGTTCTTTTAGTGGCTGAAGGTCGATGATCTTCTAGTGGGTGAAGGTCAATGTTCTTCTAGAGGCTGTATGCCAATGTTCTTCTAGTGGCTGAAGGGCAATGTTCTTCTAGAGGCTGAAGGTCATTGTTCTTCTAGAGACTGCGTTCAATGTTAATTAAGAGGCTGAAGGTCACTGTTCTTCTACTGGCTGAAGGTCAATGTTCTTTAGAGGCTGAAGTTCATTATTCTTCTAAAGACTGAATTCAATGTTATTCAAGAGGCTGAAGGTCAATGCTCTTTTAGTGGCTGAAGGTCGATGTTCTTCTATTGGCTGAAGGTCAATGTTCTTCTAGAGGCTGTATGCCAATGTTCTTCTAGTGGCTGAAGGTCAATGTTCTTCTAGAGGCTGGAGGTCCATGTTCTTTTAGTGGCTGAAGGTCGATGATCTTCTAGTGGCTGAATGTCAATGTTCTTCTAGAGGCTGAAGGTCATTGTTCTTCTAGAGACTGAATTCAATGTTATTCAAGAGGCTGAAGGTCACTGTTTTTTTAGTGGCTGAAGGTCAATGTTCTTTTACAGGCTGAAGGTCAATGTTCTTCTAGAGGCTGTATGTCAATGTTCTTCTAGAGACTGAATTCAATGTTATTCAAGACGCTGAAGGTCAATATTCTTCTAGAGGCTGAAGGTCAATGTTCTTCTAGAGGCTGAAGGTCATTGTTCTTCTAGTGGCTGAAGGTCAATGTTCTTTTATAGGCTGAAGGTCAATGTTCCTTTAGAGGCTGAAGGTCATTGTTCTTCTAGAGACTGAATTCAATGTTATTCAAGAGGCTGAAGGTCAATGTTCTTCTAAAGGCTGAAGGTCAATGTTCTTCTATTCTGTTCCTACCATTGTTTTTATTGTACTGTTGTTGCCAATTCTTATTACAAGTGAAGTATATATGCTCTTTGAAATAGAATCTCCGGGTAAGGATTTGAAAGATGTAAGACTACTAGATCTAGGTTATGTAAACTGTAAGGAAACATATCTGTAAGCCATAGCCATTAATATTTAGGGGGAAAAGTTACTAACATTTTAGAAAATGTTCAACCTCACTTTAATTATCACTGTAAAATAAAAATCAATGTTGTTTTATCCTCCAGGGCTTGGGCAGAACATAATGCAGGAAGAGGTGTTCAATATAACTCCACTCCACAACCTCAAATTGGTCCTCAAGATGGAGGGCAACATCACAGAGTCAGTCAGAATGAAGAATTTCGTAGTCCTCCTCGACCAGACAGAGAGACATCAAACATGGCTGGTCAAAGAGTAAATAGACCAGGGCAGTATGACAGAAGCCCAAGTCCAAAAAACAGAAACAGATCTGCCCGTGGTGAGGGAGGATACAGGAATGATGGCATGTGGAGAGGTGGACCTCAGTCACCTCAGAGTGACAGTAGCTTTGGCAGTCCACAGAGTAACTACTATCAAAATAGGTGGAGGGACAATGAAAGAAAGGTATATGAGTCGTCACCATCTTATCAAAGGAACAGTCGATGGGACCACAATAATAGCCCAAGAAACTACCATTCTGATAGCAGCCAGAGCAGTGGGAGTGGAAGACACAGGGTATGTTATAACAAAACCACTACAGATCACTCGATAGGTAAACAGTAAATTACTGAACTACCATAGACACCAAAAGTGGGGGTAACACACGGTAGGTATAAACACCAAACTTACATGTACACCAATAGTGGAGGCCACACAGGATAGGTATATGTATACACCAAACTACCATAGACACCAATAGTGGAGGCCACACAGGATAGGTATATACACCAACCTACCATATACACCAATAGTGGGGGTCACACAGGATAGGGATAAACACAAAACTACCATAGACACCAATAGGGGGGTCACACAGGATAGGTATAAACACAAACCTACCATAGACACCAATAGTGGGGGTCACACAGGATAGGTATAAACACAAAACTACCATAGACACCAATAGTGGGGTCACACAGGATAGGTATATATACCAAACTATCATAGACACCAATAGTGGGGGCCATACAGGATAGGTATATACACCAAACTATCATAGATACCAATAGTGGGGGTCACACAGGATAGGTATATACACCAAACTACCATAGACCCCAATAGTGGGGGCCATACAGGATAGGTATATATACCAAACTATCATAGACACGAATAGTGGGGGCCATACAGGATAGGTATATACACCAACCTACCATAGATACCAATAGTGGGGGCCATACAGGATAGGTATATATACCAAACTATCAAAGACACCAATAGTGGGGGCCACACAGGATAGGTATATACACCAAACTATCATAGATACCAATAGTGGGGGCCACACAGGATAGGTATATACACCAAACTACCATCGCCACCAATAGTGGGGGCCATACAGGATAGGTATATATACCAAACTATCAAAGACACAAATAGTGGGGGCCATACAGGATAGGTATATACACCAACCTACCATAGATACCAATAGTGGGGGCCATACAGGATAGGTATATACACCAATCTACCATAGACACCAATAGTGGGGGTCACACAGGATAGGTATATACACCAAACTAACATAGACACCAATAGTGGAGGCCACACAGGGTAGGTATATACACCAATCTACCATAGACACCAATAGTGGGGTCACACAGGATAGGTATATACACCAACCTACCATAGACACTAATAGTTGGGGTCACACAGGATAGGTGTCAACACCAAACTATCATAGACACCAATAGTGGGGGCCACACAGGATAGGTATATACACCAAACTACCATAGACACCAATAGTGGGGGTCACACAGGATAGGTATATACACCAAACTACCATAGACACCAATAGTGGGGGTCACACAGGATAGGTATATACACCAACCTACCATAGACACCAATAGTGGGGGTCACACAGGATAGGTATATACACCAACCTACCATAGACACCAATAGTGGGGGTCACACAGGATAGGTATATACACCAACCTACCATAGACACCAATAGTGGGGGTCACACAGGATAGGTATATACACCAACCTACCATAGACACCAATAGTGGGGGTCACACAGGATAGGTATATACACCAACTTACCATAGACACCAATAGTGGGGGTCACACAGGATAGGTATATACACCAACCTACCATAGACACCAATAGTGGGGGTCACACAGGATAGGTATATACACCAACTTACCATAGACACCAATAGTGGGGGTCACACAGGATAGGTATATACACCAACCTACCATAGACACCAATAGTGGGGGTCACACAGGATAGGTATATACACCAACCTACCATAGACACCAATAGTGGGGGTCACACAGGATAGGTATATACACCAACCTACCATAGACACCAATAGTGGGGGTCACACAGGATAGGTATATACACCAACCTACCATAGACACCAATAGTGGGGGTCACACAGGATAGGTATATACACCAACCTACCATAGACACCAATAGTGGGGGTCACACAGGATAGGTATATACACCAACCTACCATAGACACCAATAGTGGGGGTCACACAGGATAGGTATATACACCAACCTACCATAGACACCAATAGTGGGGGTCACACAGGATAGGTATATACACCAACCTACCATAGACACCAATAGTGGGGGTCACACAGGATAGGTATATACACCAACCTACCATAGACACCAATAGTGGGGGTCACACAGGATAGGTATATACACCAACCTACCATAGACACCAATAGTGGGGGTCACACAGGATAGGTATATACACCAACCTACCATAGACACCAATAGTGGGGGTCACACAGGATAGGTATATACACCAACCTACCATAGACACCAATAGTGGGGGTCACACAGGATAGGTATATACACCAACCTACCATAGACACCAATAGTGGGGGTCACACAGGATAGGTATATACACCAACCTACCATAGACACCAATAGTGGGGGTCACACAGGATAGGTATATACACCAACCTACCATAGACACCAATAGTGGGGGTCACACAGGATAGGTATATACACCAACCTACCATAGACACCAATAGTGGGGGTCACACAGGATAGGTATATACACCAACCTACCATAGACACCAATAGTGGGGGTCACACAGGATAGGTATATACACCAACCTACCATAGACACCAATAGTGGGGGTCACACAGGATAGGTATATACACCAACCTACCATAGACACCAATAGTGGGGGTCACACAGGATAGGTATATACACCAACCTACCATAGACACCAATAGTGGGGGTCACACAGGATAGGTATATACACCAACCTACCATAGACACCAATAGTGGGGGTCACACAGGATAGGTATATACACCAACCTACCATAGACACCAATAGTGGGGGTCACACAGGATAGGTATATACACCAACCTACCATAGACACCAATAGTGGGGGTCACACAGGATAGGTATATACACCAACCTACCATAGACACCAATAGTGGGGGTCACACAGGATAGGTATATACACCAACCTACCATAGACACCAATAGTGGGGGTCACACAGGATAGGTATATACACCAACCTACCATAGACACCAATAGTGGGGGTCACACAGGATAGGTATATACACCAACCTACCATAGACACCAATAGTGGGGGTCACACAGGATAGGTATATACACCAACCTACCATAGACACCAATAGTGGGGGTCACACAGGATAGGTATATACACCAACCTACCATAGACACCAATAGTGGGGGTCACACAGGATAGGTATATACACCAACCTACCATAGACACCAATAGTGGGGGTCACACAGGATAGGTATATACACCAACCTACCATAGACACCAATAGTGGGGGTCACACAGGATAGGTATATACACCAACCTACCATAGACACCAATAGTGGGGGTCACACAGGATAGGTATATACACCAACCTACCATAGACACCAATAGTGGGGGTCACACAGGATAGGTATATACACCAACCTACCATAGACACCAATAGTGGGGGTCACACAGGATAGGTATATACACCAACCTACCATAGACACCAATAGTGGGGGTCACACAGGATAGGTATATACACCAATCTACCATAGACACCAATAGTGGGGGTCACACAGGATAGGTTTATACACCAAACTACCATATACACCAATAGTGGGGGTCACACTGGCTTGATTTGCATTTTGTTCTAAAATATCTTAATTGTTGGAAATCAATACATTTATTGTACTTTAATGCTCACAGGATAGAGACCCAGATGTGCACCTGTCAAAGAAGTTGTCATTTCTCCTACGCCACGGAGCAGAGAAATCAGGCTTCACCTTGATGTCAGGTGTGTATTTTGCATTGTGTTTTACAATACATTTTACATGTACAGGGGCCAGGTGGGATAAACAGTCAATTATAATCTGTGTGTCCAATATCAGTGTTACTAAGATTTTTCCTGCCACAATCAAAACCTGCTGTGTATGTATACATACCATATAACCAGTATTCCAGGGAAACTATCTACAAGGCTATAAAGTTGTCTTTTTAGGTCACCTTAGCTTGAGTTCAAGTGACCTATTGCGATCCATCTATATGCGTCGTCCGTTAACATTTTACATTCTCAATTTAAGCTGAAAAATACTGTCCCCATTTTGAAAAACTTTTTCAAACTTAAAGTCGGTCGATTTAACTGAATCTGGGTAGGAATGATCGTCTCATGGTCGTGACAAAGTGTTGTTATTTTTCGGGTCGGTCAGAAATCCAATATGACTGCCACGTCCAACATTTTGAAAAACTATTTCAAACTTAAAGTCAAGTTCTACTGGGCCGATTTAACTGAAACTTGGTAGGAGTTATCGACTTATAGTCCTGACAAACTGTTGTTATTTTACAGGTCGATCAGAAATCCAATGTGTCCACCACGGCTGTTATTTTGAAGGAAAAATATATTTAGGCTGATTTTACTGAAATTCCGTCTAGCTCATGGTCCTGACAAACTTAACTCAACGTTATTCTTAACTACTTTTTACTAAAATAGGTAGGGATGATTGATGATTCATTATCTCCACTTCATATTTCAACAACAAAAATAAATACTGTAGGACTCGGGTGACCGTTTAGGCCGTTTAGGCCCATGGGCCTCTTTTTACTGTGTGATCGTTTTGATAGACAAGATTTCAATAGAAAAATATTTGCAACCAATTACAAAAAGATTATTGTTTTTCACTCAATCTTTGTTGTGATTCTTCTCAAATTTATGCATACTTTTTACCTTAAAAAGGCATTTGGTTACATTTACCTGTACTTGATTTTCAGGAGGATTCTTATATGTAGAGGACATTTTAAAACTTCCTGAATTGCAAGAGTTTAGTTTAAAAGATGTCAGAAGAATTGTGGAAAACAATGACAAACAAAGATTTGCTCTCCAGCCAAATCCAGAAAACAAAAAAATGATGATAAGAGCCAATCAGGGTCACACCATGCAGGTAACTTACCATAGACCTCAGAACAATCTATAGATGTAGTCTCTTATAGATCTCTGAGGATTGTAGAGGTAACCTACCATAGACCTCAGAACAATCTATAGATGTAGTCTCTTATAGATCTCAGAGGATTGTAGAGGTAACCTACCATAGACCTCAGAACAATCTATAGAAGTAGTCTCTTATAGATCTCTGAGCATTGTAGAGATAACCTACCATAGACCTCAGAACAATTTATAGAGATAGTCTTCTATAGATCTCAGAGGATTGTAGAGGTAACCTACCATAGACCTCAGAACAATCAATAGAGGTAGTCTCCTATAGATCTGAACACGGTAGATTTTACCTACCATAGACCTCAAAACAATCTATAGAGTTAGTCTCCTATAGATCTGTGAGCATTGTAGAGGTAACCTACATAGACATCAGAACAATATATAGAAGTAGTCTCCTACAGATCACTGAGCATTGTAGAGGTAACCTTCATAGACCTCAGAACAATCTATTGAAGTAGTCTCATATAGATCTCTGAGTATTGTAGAAGTACCCTTCATACACCTCAGAACAATATATAGAAGTAGTCTCATATAAGTTTCTAAGCATTGTAGAGGTAACCTTCATCGACCTCAGAACAATATTTAGAAGTAGTCTCATATAAGTTTATAAACATTGTAGAGGTAACCTTCAAACACCTCAGAATAATATATAGAAGTAGTCTCCTATAGATCTCTGAGCATTGTAGAGGTAACCTTCATACACCTCAGAACAATCTATTGAGGTAGTCTTTTATAGATCTCTGAGCATTGTAGAGGTAACCTACCATAGACCTCAGAACAATCAATAGAGGTAGTCTCCTATAGATCTCAGACCATGGAGGAGGTAACCTTCATAGACCTGAGAACAATCTATAGAAGTAGTCTCTTATAGATCTCTGAACACAATAGAGGTAATCTACCATAGACCTGAGAACAATCTATAGAAGTAGTCTCTTATAGATCTCTGGAGATTGTAGAGGTAACCTACAATAGACCTCAGAACAATCTATAGAAGTAGTCTCTTATAGATCTCTGAACACAGTAGAGGTAATCTACCATAGACCTGAGAACAATCTATAGAGGTAGTCTCTTATAGATCTCTGAACACAGTAGAGGTAACCTACCATAGACCTCAGAACAATCTATTGAGGTAGTCTCCTGTAGATCTTTTAAAGGGAAAGAGATAATTTATAGATTTCATATAGAGGTGTCCCAAAATATTTAGTACACATAGTAACCATTATCTCTCCTTGCTCTCAGAATAACAACAATCTCTATTAGACCTCTGATCATGAAAAAGATGTCCTACAGATTTTGGAACAAACCATATAGGTGCTCTCCCATATATCTATATTTACATTTGTACTGCAACCCACTTTATGAACATAACCAGCAGAAATGCGTTTCATTTGAGTATGAAAGCAAAAACCCTGTGACGTAACACGTGGTTTACTAATGACGTCATAGATTAACCTTGTTCAATGAGAGTCTTGTCGCTTTGCTTCGGATAACATGGAGAATGCCCCTGCGTCAAACACTTCAATGATCACGGTTAATTATTGGCGCCTATTTTATTTAAAAAGGGCTGTTCTGTCAATGTTGTTTAAAGGATGAAGCATATACAAAACGCAGTAAATGAATTATTAATTTAAGAACAAATAATAAATAATGTTATCTTCAGTCAGCATAGGAATACCATATCTGTTATGTTCAAAATGTGGTTCTCACGAAACTTCCCACTGAATATTTTTTGACAAGTAAAGATCTTTAATAGGTATGTAAGAAAAAGGTGTAAACTACACATAGATGATATTACATGTAGTGTTTGCTTTCAGGTACAAAATCTGGATTTGAAGCCCATTACCAGTGCTGAAGAGGCACAGGAAGTCATTCATGGTACTTACTACAAGAGCTGGGAAATCATCAAACATTCGGTAATATTACCTGCCTAGGAAACCCAAGCAAGAACCATGAACTACTGTTAGCATAATAGCTCAAGTTTGTAAAATACCCAGAAATGAACCATGTACTACTGTTCACATAATAGCACATGTAGGTAGAGTACACATAAGTGAACCATGTACTGCTGTTAATATAATAGCTCAAGTAGGTAGAGTACACATAAGTGAACCATGTACTGCTGTTAATATAATAGCTCAAGTAGGTAGAGTACACATAAGTGAACCATGTACTGCTGTTAATATAATAGCTCAAGTAGGTAGAGTACACATAAGTGAACCATGTACTGCTGTTAATATAATAGCTCAAGTAGGTAGAGTACACATAAGTGAACCATGTACTGCTGTTAATATAATAGCTCAAGTAGGTAGAGTACACATAAGTGAACCATGTACTGCTGTTAATATAATAGCTCAAGTAGGTAGAGTACACATAAGTGAACCATGTACTGCTGTTAATATAATAGCTCAAGTAGGTAGAGTACACATAAGTGAACCATGTACTGCTGTTAATATAATAGCTCAAGTAGGTAGAGTACACATAAGTGAACCATGTACTGCTGTTAATATAATAGCTCAAGTAGGTAGAGTACACATAAGTGAACCATGTACTGCTGTTAATATAATAGCTCAAGTAGGTAGAGTACACATAAGTGAACCATGTACTGCTGTTAATATAATAGCTCAAGTAGGTAGAGTACACATAAGTGAACCATGTACTGCTGTTAATATAATAGCTCAAGTAGGTAGAGTACACATAAGTGAACCATGTACTGCTGTTAATATAATAGCTCAAGTAGGTAGAGTACACATAAGTGAACCATGTACTGCTGTTAATATAATAGCTCAAGTAGGTAGAGTACACATAAGTGAACCATGTACTGCTGTTAATATAATAGCTCAAGTAGGTAGAGTACACATAAGTGAACCATGTACTGCTGTTAATATAATAGCTCAAGTAGGTAGAGTACACATAAGTGAACCATGTACTGCTGTTAATATAATAGCTCAAGTAGGTAGAGTACACATAAGTGAACCATGTACTGCTGTTAATATAATAGCTCAAGTAGGTAGAGTACACATAAGTGAACCATGTACTGCTGTTAATATAATAGCTCAAGTAGGTATAGTACAAATAAGTGAACCATGTACTGCTGTTAATATAATAGCTCAAGTAGGTAGAGTACACATAAGTGAACCATGTACTACTGTTAATATAATAGCTCAAGTAGGTAGAGTACACATAAGTGAACCATGTATTGCTGTTAATATAATAGCTCTAGTAGGTAGAGTACACATAAGTGAACCATGTACTGCTGTTAATATAATAGCTCTAGTAGATGATTTCATAGCGCCTACTGAGTCCCTAGCTATATAGCTTTCACTGAATTCAGCTGTAGTATGGCATGTTTGCCCTTAAGTTTATATTTACTAGCCTACCCTAGCCTTAACCATGTACTATTATCAAGATCAACGGCTGAATTGTTTTACAGTGTTTTACTATTCATCATCGATGCTTTTCAGGGCCTGAGTCGCATGGGAAGGAATCACATTCACTTTGCTGCTGGAGAACCAGGGGAGAATGGAGTCATCAGTGGTAGGTGAACTGATCTTTAAAAGTATTACAAGATGTATCTCAGGTAACAAGAAATATAACAATATGTATCTCGGTTCCAGAATGATAACAAGGTGTATCTTGGACAGCCAGAAGTATAACAAGGTGTATCTCGGATAACCAGAAGTGTAACAAAGTGTATCTCTGGTAACCAGAAGGGTAACAAAGTGTATCTCAGGTAACCAGAAGTGTAACAAGGTGTATATTGGGTAACCAGAGGTGTAATAAGGTGTTTCCTGGGTAACCTGAAGTGTTACAAGGTGTATCTCAGGTAACCAGAATTATAACAAGGTATGGCTCTGGTAACCAGATGTATAACAAGGTATATCTCAGGTAACAATAAAGTATAACAAGGTATATCTCGGGTAACCAGAAGTGTAACAAAGTGTTTCTCAGGTAACCAGAAGTGTAACAAAGTGTATATCAGGTAACCAGAAATGTAACAAAGTGTATCACAGGTAACCAGAAGTATAACAAGGTGTATCTTGGTTAACCAGAAGTGTAACAAAGTGTATCTCGGGTAACCAGAAGTGTAACAAAGTGTATCTCAGGTAACCAGAAGTGTAACAAAGTGTATCTAAGGAAACCAGAAGTGTAACAAGGTGTATCTTGGGTAACCAGAAGTATAACAATGTGTATCTCAGGTAACCAGAAGTATAACAAGGTATATCACATGTAACCAGAAGTGGATCACAGGTAACCAGAAGAATAACAAAATGTATCTCTGGTAACCACAAGTATAACAAGGTGTATCACAGGTAACCAGAAGTATAACAAGTTGTATCACAGGTAGCCAAAAGTATAAATAAATGTATCACAGGTAACCAGAAGTATAACAAGGTGTATATCAGGTAACCAGAAGTATAACAAGGTATATCTCATGTAACCATAAAGTATAACAAGGTGTATCTCGGGTAACCAGAAGTGTAACAAAGAGTTTCTCAGGTAACCAGAAGTGTAACAAGGTGTATCTCGGGTAACCAGAAGTGTAACAAAGTTCATATCAGGTAACCAGAAGTGTAACAGTGTGTATCTCGGGTAACCAGAAGTGTAACAAAGTGTATATCAGGTAACCAGAAGTGTAACAAAGTGTATCACAGGTAACCAGAAGTATAACAAGGTGTATCTTGGTTAACCAAAAGTGGTACAAAGTGTATCTCTGGTAACCAGAAGTGTATCAAAGTGTATCTCAGGTAACCAGAAGTGTAACAAAGTGTATCTAAGGTAACCAGAAGTGTAACAAGGTGTATCTTGGGTGACCAAAAGTGTAACAAGGTGTATCTCAGGTTACCAGAAGTATGACAAGGTGTGTCACAGGTTTCCACAAGTGGATCACAGGTAACCAGAAGAATAACAAAATGTATCTCTGGTAACCAGAAGTATAACAAGGTGTATCACAGGTTACCACAAGTATAACAAGTTGTATCTCTGGTAACTAGAAGTATAACAAGTTGTATCACAGGTAACCAGAAATATAACAAGGTGTATCACAGGTAACCAGAAATATAAATAAATGCATCATATGTAACCAGAAGTATAACAAGGTGTAACTCAGGTAACCAGAAGTATAAAAAGGTGTATCACAGGTAACCAGAAATATAACAAAGTGTATCACAGGTTACCACAAGTATAACAAGGTGTAACTCAGGTAACCAGAAGTATAACAAGTTGTATCACAGGTAACCAAAATTATAAATAAATGCATCATAGGTAACCAGAAGTATAACAAGGTGTACATCAGGTAACCAGAAGAATAACAAGTTGTATCTCTGGTAACCAGAAGTATACAAAATTGTATCTCAAGTATCCAAAGGTATAAGAAAGAGTATCGGGTAACCAGAAGAATAACAGGGTGTATCTCAAATAACCAGAATAATGATACGTTGTATCATGGTTAGTCAGAAGTAAAATAAGTTGTTTCACAGGTAACCAGAAGTGTAAACAAGTGTATCTCAGGTAACCAGAAGTAAAACGAGGTGTAGCTCGGGTAACCAGAAATATAATGAGGTGTCTCACAGGTAACCAGAAGCATAAAAAGGTGTATATCAGGTAACCAGAAGTATAACAAGGTGTAGCTCGGGTAACCAGAATAATAACAAGATGTTTCTCAGGTAACCAGAAGTATAACAAGGTGTACCAAAGGTAAACAACAAGTGGATCTTTGATAACTAGATATTTTACAACTTAAGGTAATAAGTTATCTTACATTGTGATTAGTGGACCAATCAGATGTGAACATTTACAAAAATGTGCCAGTCAGGAATTTAAAATTATCACAGCAAACTAATCAATGGTAGTTTAAGGCAAAATGAAATTAAGATGTAATCTAATGTACAGTACTGCAGGTTACTGTACTGCATGAAATGTTTTACAAAATTTGACCTCCTTTCCTGTAACCTGTCGAAGATTGAAAATTTTGGCTCAATTAAGAGTGTCCATCTAAAATTTGAATCTAATTTTGGTTCCTATCCCAGTCTGGCCCTGTATTTACATATTTAACTTAAAGTATACTGGATTAGTATTTTGTTAAAAATGAAATTGAATGTAAATCGAAAATGATTTTTATATTTATTATTTCAATTCAACAGTCCCTTACATCCAATAAAAGAATTGATAACAATATGCATATATGATATATTATAGCTAAAATATATAAGCAATAACAACAATAAATCCTTAAAACTTGACAGAGAGTGGCACATAATATCAAACTTAAGATGTTTATCCCTGTCTTGTTATCAGGCCATGTTCAGATTTCACAATCATCCGAAAGATCTGGACATAAGGGGTATAGATTTACTCATGATTATAATGATCTGTGTTTATTGGACTTTATTTGTATTTTAGGTATGAGATCATCCTGTGAGGTGGTTATTAGGATAGACATGGAGAAAGCCCTGAATGGTACGTAAAGATATTAACACCTTGATTAACAACAATTATCTGCTCTGACTCATCCATACTTCAAAGTAATAAATTATTTTTTCATACAAAATATTATCTTATGTATTCACAGGATTTTAATATGTTTTGAAAACTGCTCTCAATTTGGATTTGGAGTCATGTCAGAATAACTGGAAATGAGAAAGTAGATAGGGCTGTACCTAACCTACAACCAGAAGATATAAAACTGTCAATTCAACCTAATGTGGGTGCATGCAAAACATGTAGGCATGATCGAAGAGAGGAAATTGTCGTCTTATGACTACACATGGCCATACCTTCATAACACATGGCCNCCTTCATTACACAGGCTATACTTTCATTACACAGGCTATACCTTCATTACACAGGCTTTACCTTCATTACACATGGCTATACCTTCATTACAAAGGCTTTACCTTCATTACACAGGCTATACCTTCATTACACAGGCTTTACCTTCATTACACATGGCTATACCTTCATTACACAGGCCATACCTTCATTACACATGGCCATATCTTCATAACACAGGCCATACCTTCATTACACAGGCTATACCTTCATTACACAGGATTTACCTTCATTACACATGGCTATACCTTCATTACACATGCCATACCTTCATTACACATGGCCATACCTTCATAACACAGGCCATACCTTCATTACACAGGCTTAACTTTCATTACACAGGCTATACCTTCATTACACATGGCCATACCTTCATTACACAGGCTATATCTTCATTACACATGACCATACCTTCACAGCACAAGCTTACATTATACAAATAAAGTCAACCTTGTTATGCTGGTGACAATCCATTCACTGTCAAACATTTTATGATCAAGTATGCTGATTTTAAACAAACGTGAAAGATTCTATAATGCAGTAGCTGTGAATAATTAGTTTAATACAGTTCTTTTACAATTTATACATAATTATTTACATCAAATTTAATTGTACAAAAAAATATGTTACCATGTTTTACAACCCATTGCCTTGGCAATCCTACATACATTATATATTTCTTAAATGTGATTGACCCATCTTCAGCAGGTCAAAAGTTATAGCCTGGACAATGAATTTGACCTTTCACCTCAATGTGACCTTAACCTTGGACTTACTGACCCAATTGTGATTTACTGCCATGTCATCTCACATATATTTCTTATCTTCATGCAGCTAGTCAAAAGCTATGGCCTGTTCAATGAATTTGATCTTTGACCTTCATGTGACCTCAAACTTGGGCACATGGACACAATGGTACGTCTGACAAACTGCCTTGCCATACTACATTTATTCCTTACACATGAATTCAGCAAGTGAGAAGTTATGACCCAGACAATGAATTTGATCTTTGACCTCTATGTGACATTGACCATTGGCATACTGACCCCAAATTTTGTTTAAACCCACCATATTTCTATCTTGTATATCCCTTTAAAAAAATTCAGTTATCTGCAGCAAGTCAAAAGTTATGGCTTGGACAATTAATTTGACATTTGACCTTAATGTGACTTTGACCTTGGATGTACATACCCTAGAGAGGTACTCGACACACTGCCTTGCCATCCTACATATAATCCTGAAATTTTATTATGCTATCTTCTGCAAGTCAGAAGTTATTACCTTGACAAATAATTTGGATGGATGAATGTACAGACGAACAGACAAAGCGGCGGATATATGCTCCCTGAAATGTTTTCAGGAAACAAACTAAAAACATTTTATTTATTCAATTTGTCAATCCATAAAATTTTATAAAGGAGGATGGACTATGACACTCTGATCAGTGTGTCATAGGAAAACTTAAGTCTGGTATTAATTATAATGTAGCCATGGTATCATTATGTTAATGTAGTAACACCATTTCTCTGATAGCTAGCACACATCATCAAAACTCCACTTAAGGTTTCACATGTAACTCAATGCCAATCTTACATCTCTCTGATAGCTAGCACACATCATCAAAACTCCATTTAAGGTTACACATATAACTCAATGCCAAACTTACATCTCTCTGATGNGTACTCGACACACTGCCTTGCCATCCTACATATAATCCTGAAATTTCATTATGCTATCTTCTGCAAGTCAGAAGTTATTACCTTGACAACTAATTTGGATGGATGAATGGACAGACGAACAGACAAAGCGCCGGCGGCTATATTCTCCCTGAAATGTTTTCAGGAAACAAACTAAAAAAAAAAAAATTATTCAATTTGTCAATCCATAAAATTTTATAAAGGAGAATGGACTATGACACTCTGATCAGTGTATCATAGGAAAACTTAAGTCTGGTATTAATGTAGCCATGGTATCATCATGTTAATGTAGTTACACCATTTCTCTGATAGAGCACACATCATCAAAACTCCACTTAAGGTTTCACATGTAACTCAATGCCAATCTTACATCTCTCTGATAGCTAGCACACATCATCAAAACTCCATTTAAGGTTACACATATAACTCAATGCCAAACTTACATCTCTCTGATAGCTAGCACACATCATCAAAACTCCACTTAAGGTTACACATATAAATCAATGCCAAACTTACATCGTAATTCAGTAGCTTATGTATGGACATGTTTTGTTGATTAGGAGTAGCTGAAACATATATCAATTTCATTATGTTACTCACACGGTAACATCAACAGTATGTAAAGCTATTTAAACTCAGCAACAAAAACATTACATCTATGTATGTAAAATTATTTAAATATAGTGACATCAACGATATGTAAAGCTATTTGATGATAACATTACGTAAAGCTATTTAACACAGTGACATTGACGTTATGTGTACTTTGTATTTGTGTACTTTTTAGATGGCCTCAAGTTTTTCCGTTCTGCCAACAATGTGATACTGTGTGCAGGAGATAAGGATGGTATCATCTACCCTGCTTACTTTGACGTTGTTATACAAAGACATCCAAGTAAGTATCATAAAATCAATTAGTCTCAAATAAATTCCACAAGATCACAGGTTCATTTCTCCTATCTATAGGATTACAACGTTAACATGTCCATCTTTCAATCCATTCACCTGTCTCCTATTCTAGTCCTGGCTTATGAACAGCCAAATATATATATTTACATTTGCATGGCATTGTTACTATATAGCCTCTTTGAAAGCTGTGTCGTTGATCGGACTTTAATTACCATGCAGCACAAGACACAATTCTTAGCGTATTAATACAACACTAACCGGAACTGCAATATCCAATGTAAATAAACATGACGGCTGCTGAAATATCGCTGGGCATTGTGAGACTTTTCAATGTCATTGTAAATTTATGTGCAAAAGAAAAAAGTGAATAAAAATTACTTTTATTACAACAAAAACAAGACCAAGGTCTGCAATATCGTACAAAATGCACATCGGTTGAAATCACCAATGCCGTCAATGGAAACAATTTTAACACTCATACAATTTATCAGAAATATCGTCTGATACATTGCACTGATCAACAAGGGTTCGTTACAAATGTCTGAAATACACATATTCTAAAGACCTACTAACACATATGTTACAGACATACTGATATGAGTCACAGCACACATAAACATTTCAGACATTTGTAACGAACCCCTGTGCTCCGTCACAAGATTACTCACTTCAAACGATATCAGTTTCACGCGTCTCGCAGCCAAGGTTTCCCCAGTTTCTGATCACGACATGTCAAATAACGAGGCTGTTATAGAATCTATTAACTGTAGTCAGATTTCCATATAATCAACAAATAAATTCACGTCTGGATTCTTCACAAAATGAGCAAAGAGAAACTTTCGAATTAACTTCCAAAAATAACTCCCTCGTGGAGGTCAAGGTCGGTTTCACAGTGTCCATATATTTATCCATGCGCAAAATTGTTCCGGGGAAAAATCGGAACAATTTAAATCTAACTTTCAGCTCAGATTTCTATTGATAAACTTAAATCTTACTATAGACATATCATACGCAATTGTATTGATACTGAATTGTGGAATAAAATTGAAGTGTTTGTTAAAATTTCAAAGTACTACTTTATTTGCCAATCAGCATGTGACAATACGCTGTTCAAATTATTGAACGAAATTGTGTGGACTGTCGATAAGGCGGGCATTTTTAACTTTAAATATAAATTATAAGTTAAAAAAGATCTAAGTATTGAACTGTTTTTGTATGGTATTTATGATCTATTTGAATGACACAGCTTTGCAAGCAAACAACTCATAATGTGCGCTAGCTTAAGTAATGACACTCTATAGATCTTGATAGATATATATCACAACTGTAAAGTTTTTCATATAAAACTCTTCGGTGCATACCTCCTATGAGACAAAGGGTTCAAAGGTCAAATCACTGTAATGCTTGTCCAATCCTTAATTCCAATATGTTCAAGGTCATAGCGAGGTCCTTAAACATATTGGAATTAAAGACTGGACAAGCCTGTAGAA